CTTTCTCTAATAACTTCCCAGACTATTTTGAAGTATATGACTTAATCCCTAGAAGTTATTTGGTGGGGGCTGAGATAAATATTTAGGAAAATAACACAGTTAAAATAAGAATGAAATTTATATAAGCATGTTAGAGTCAGAGACACACCTTATAAAATGAGACTATATTAGTAACAGTAAAAGATTTCCTTCAAGCACAGGTGTCAATTACTGAGCCCACTTGGCCTCACATATACAAATGCTTTTGTGACTTCTGGTGCCCCAGCCTTAACCAGCATGTCTGGGCACCTGGTTTAAGGGAAGGTCCTAGGTTATACATCATCCTGAAGAGGTACATGTCACACACACACACACACACAATAAGGCTGAACCTCCAGCAGGATCACTCACAATAGCTGCTGAACTTGAAAGGGAACAAGGGAGCCAGACACAAAGTCAATAGCAGCCTGGTAAATCAGGGCTACTTAGGGAAAAGATGGGCATCTAGGAATTGAAAGATGCAACAAAGGTCCAGCATTGTTAAGGGGAACTTACAATCTCTGAAAGGACATAAAGAGACTTTGGTCCCATCTGAAAGTAAATTGAGAGACCTGCCCCAAACCCCTGCCTACTTATGGCAGCCGAGGCATTGGAACTTTGGGGCCCACCTTTGAATCTATTACTGTTTCTTGCTTCTACTTCTCAGAAATGATTGACTCATCATCTATTTTTCTCCCATACCCATACCAGGGCAGAGAAAGCAGAGTCTGAAAGGCATTTACATGATTTCCACTTATAAAATTTACACTTTGGTAGAGGTGTGAGAAAGACCCTTTACCCAAGTTTCCTCTTGTCTCCAATGTTCCTGATGAGATTGTTACAGCACATCTACCCACTGGTCAGACAGTTATCAGTCTACCACTAAGATGTCTGGAGATAAACATGACAAAAACACTAAAACTTACCTCACAAATTCATAAAAGCAAATGTTTGGAACACCAATATTATTTTCAGTTTCTAGAAAAAGGGACGTGACATGGGTACTCATTGCAACATGGAAGCTTTATGAATCACTTTTCTGTATTACAAACTGGGTATTTTAACAAACTAAATCACCCATATTCTGTTCTACATGCAAGTCTTCTCTGACTGCTGACTTAGTAATACAGGTAGAAAAAAAAGAAGCCTCCCAATAGAACATTTTTTTTCTATGACTAGAGACTATTAAGTCAACATTTATGGAGATGGACTTATTCTGAAAGTAATTTCACAATGAAATGATGTTGCTAAGCACACCAATTTTTATTTATTTATTCTTAAAAGTTCAATAAAAAGCTCAAGAAGTGAACAGGGCATCTTAGATGAAAAGGTTTTATGTGTGCACACAAGCACACCCACTCACACTTCTTCAACATACCATTTCACAAATGCTGTATATTATTAAGAGGAGGCGGGTTCTGCCGGGCACATAATTTGTATATTTAAGGGAGGTGTATGGAATGAAAAAGCGAAATATGCTAAATTTCAAAGGACTTGGAAGCAATGCTGCCTGTGAGCTTGTATTACAAATAGCCCCACATTATTACATACGCTATTAATGAGGCTGAGTGAATGAAAGTGCAATTTGAATATGCATGACTCTATCCAATAAGCAGGACTTTTGTGTACTGATGAGGTTTTTTTTTTCCTCCTAAAAAAGGATTAAAATTATTCTTAGACAAGTATGGCTACCCAGAGACCAGTAAAATAAATGTACTTAGACCACTGAGTCACACTATATTCAGATGAAATATACAGGTGCTAAAAGAATGCCTTTGAATCTATAATTTCTGAAACTTGCACATATCACGTCCTCCCAACAGGAATATTCCTCAACTCTGAGCAGCTGCGTCATTAGAATTTCTTAGCAAAAATAATGATTTTAGCAGAGATTCCTAAAAGTAGGCAAGGTTAAATAAACCTTTTGAGTACAAAGCCTTCTTTCCCATCATAAGGAACACTAGTTAAAAGACTGGGGAATGGGTAAATTATTGCACCAAATGGCTGAGAATTAATCTCTGCTGACTAGCTGTAATCTAACGAGGCGTCTGTGTCCCAGGGAGCCCGCAGCATGTCCCTGGCGGTATGTGCAGTGTGTCGAGTCTGCGTGGCACCCTTTGTCCTCGCTCACAGGCGGCCTTTCCCCTCATTGTCCATAATATCCTCATGCATCTGGGACGCGTGGAATGCATTCATACTAACAGACTTACCATTGTTTTCTCTCAGAAGCTTTGTTGAGCAAAGACTGCATCACGGTTACTGATAATTATATTGCTTAATTAATCAAGACAAAAAAAATTTGCAAATCATTGCCTGGTTGCCAAGCAGGGAGATAAAAAATGACAACAATACAAGCTGAAGCAATATAACAAAAGTAACAGCTATCTGATCAGAAATTCTTATATAATGAAGCTATTAATGCTAAATCGGTTAATGTTAACATTGCTCCAGGTGTCTCTACTTAGATGCAAACAAAAAGGCTAACATTATGGATATAAAAGGCCAAATGTTGCCATGGATTCTGTAACCTGATAGAGAGGACAGCCTTTTCATTTGATTAGGGAATGCAATTTAAATACCAGGGATGGAAGCCAAACAAACAGACTTTCCCTCCACAAGCCTCTCGTATTCATCCTGGGGTCAGTGGTTGGTGAACAAAAGGTCAGCCACACTTGCCCTGGAAATGTCTGGATTAATTTTATTACATTGTAATGGTTTGTACTTTAAATGTCGGGATAACACTAAATTTTCACTTGCCCATTACTCTCTTCTTCCCTTCAGGCTTTTGAATTGAAATATTAAGAAAGCGCTTCGCTCAATTTATCTGGCCAGAATTTATGACCAAATTTACAAAACTCACAGTTTTTAAAGAAACTTTAAAAGGCATGTTAATACTTGTTTTCATGAATTATATGTCTGATGTCTTTTTTAAAACCACTTTGACACTATAAAGTGAACCAAACTATCTTTTACAGTATTTATTTACTATAAAAATAAACAGCAGTTTTGGGATATTAAATGACATTTTAGAAAATGATGTTGAAAATGAACAAATAAAGCCAGCTAATCCATACTAAATATTAAAGAAACACATTCTTTAATTTGAAAGCTAATACTAAATCCTAAAAGAGGATACTAAATGTATTGCTTTTCTAATATTAAATTCGAGTTTAAATCTTAAAATTTCAGTTATGGTCTTCATAGACAAATACACATGTTATTAACATGCAGAGGCATTTTTTTTATATAAAAACTTCACATACATAGAGCTCTGTATAAAAGATAACACAAACATTTAATATGAAGAACTTTTGGCATCTGCACTCCTGAAATAGAAAAGAGGTTCCCTTTTTGTCAGGCTTCTCACTGGCCAGGGTAAGATTTTTCTGAATTTAGGAGCTGAATTACACTGTACCTAGTCTGAGAAATAATGACCATGTTAAGAGTTGGGATTCATTATTTACTCAGGCTAAAAAACTTGAGTAGTAATAATAATAATAATAATAATAAACACTTAAATAGATTTTACTCTGAGCCAGGAATTATTTGAAGCACTTTTCATTTTTTATCATTTTACCCTATAACTTTAATACTTTAGATAAGGTTATATATAAGCCAGTAAATCTCAGTTATGTACTATTTTAAAGTTTAAAAATAGGGAATTTTATATTAGGTTATAAATCTCAGTAAATCTTATTATTTGAAAGCTTAAAAATAGATTATCTGGAATGTAATTTTAGCTCCTTCAGGTGATTAATGTGTAATGAAAATGAAGATTATATTTAATATCAAACACGAAGACATTTTCTAGAGGAGGAGTGATTCAATATACTAAATGCTCAATTAAAAATCTTTAAAAACAACCCTTTTATTAATAATTCCAAAACAAAAACAAGTCACTATATAAAGCACTGCTAAATTACCACCAAAGGCATGGCAAGGATCAAAACCACAGCTAATTTTGTACAGAGCATATAACCACTGGATTGTTCCAGCCATTCTCATGATCAATACCAATTGATGCGGCTGAACTGATTCTATGGTAAGGTGTCTCAATTGTTAAAGATCATCTTATGGACTGTGCTAGAGAGGTCAATCTCTTCATGGACATGCCTGTAATCCTTCAGGACTGACCCCCATTAGCAATGGAGGCTTGGCAAGCAATGCCCCCATATCCATCAGGCAAAGCTGGATTCTCTATATTCTCATCCACAAAATGCTAGATGTGATATGCAGTTCATTCAATTCTTATTAATCAACATGCCTGAAATTTAAAATAACAATTAAAAAATGAAATTAAAAAAATTTAAACCATTTATTTTTAATTTTTTTTTCCTGGTGTGATTTTCTAGAAATTTACTTATTAGGTTATAAAAATTTATACTTTTAACAACTTCATTTTCAGCTGCTATAATTGAAAACTACATTTCTCTTAGAAAATAATTTTTGGTAATTTTTTTCTTGAAAAGGATCTTTCTGCTGATGCAACTGTTGCTGGAACTGTTAAAGAGTATTTTATAGGTTGTGATGACATTGAGATAAATTTTTGATAAATTATTTCAAAGTATAAATTTTAGCTCATCTAGAGCTAATGATTCTTACAAAACAATTTTTCTAAAAAGATTTAACTCTATAATTTGGTTTTGTGTAAGTCTGAATTTAGTTTTATTTATTTATTTATTTATTTATTTACAACATTATTCATTTTTAAACCATTTAAAAATCATAAATGTCTTTACCATTATAATTTTGTTTAAAGAAGCCAAGTAATAAAATGCATAATTCTGTGCTCATGATGAATGTTTCTTTGAAAAATCTCAATTCATATTTAATTCCTAAATGGTACATATAATTCAGATACATTAACAAATTCACCAGTTGGGAAAAAAGCTATTGTTATCCTAAGTATATCATTATTTTTCAGTAACAGTGACTCATGGCAAAGGCAGTACACGTCAGGGCAAAACTATGGTGAAACATACCTCAGGTTTCTTCGTTATTGCGATAAAGAACATGTGATTCTTCATTGGGTAAATAATGATTGAAACATCTCCAAAGGCGGTTGGGATAATACCCCTGCGGTAGTCTCTAGAGTGTTCGGACCAGACGATGTGGACCTCATCATTTCCCAAGTGACGGAGCTACAACAGCAAATTGGCTCTTCATTAATCAGAGTGATAACAGCAGTTTATGAGGGGTCACAGCTTACAAATTGAATTATAATACTTAGAGGCAAAAATAGTTCACTATTAAAACAAGACTACACTACTGATGTATTTTATGAGGATTTTAAAAAGTATACATGCATTATAACACAGCTTACCTTCTAAGAAACAGATCAGTACTATAATAATGCACACCGCATTGCAGGTACATTTCAGCTGATAGAGACAAGACCTTTTCAAGAATTTCTCTAGATCTAGTTTTATTCCTTTATCAAAGCCTTTTCCTTTATATTGCTAAGCATGTTCCTAAACAATTAATGAGCTTTTATTTCACATTACAGAAGAGCTTTGTGATTCTTAATTCAAGAATATGAGTAAGAACATAAGCTAATATAACACAAGTGTTACCAAATGTAAAAAAAAAAACCCTAGACTTGTGACAAAAGGTATGAACATAAAATTACCTATATTTAAGAAACTAGTATTACTTAAATTTATACCTAGCATTTGAAGAGTACATACGATGTAAAGTGTATGTTCACACAAGTTGTGTTTAATCTTTCCACTAACTTAGATAGACTACATCATCTTTATGCTATCTAAAAAGGAGAAAACAGAGCTCAGAAAGATGATGGCACCAGGGTAAATGAACAGCATGTGGCAGAGTGGGTCTGGAAACCTGGGTTGGGGGTTCTAATTCCGCCATTTCATGGCTACCTAAGCCTACATCAAAAGCTATTATACTTTCATAGCTCAAATAGCTTAGCCTACTGTTTTTTTTTTTTTTTTTTATCATTTATGCACAAAGAGGTTATAAAGTCCAAAAACAAATCAGAGGTTCCTGGTCTCTTTCAGAGTTCTTCATGGGATGATGAAGGACACTCTGGATAAAACTCCTGCATAATGATGGCACTACTCAGAAATTATCTGAGTAAGCCTCAAAGCATGGTTAAAAGTAAGTAAATTATAAAAATTAAAATCTTCGGTAATGTCCTAAATTAAAATCCTAAAACCTAAAAGGCTGATGAAGGCCTTTTAACACTTATTGAGAATGTGGGCTTTTGGTCTTGTCATGTGCTGCAGAAGAATGGTATCTGCCACCATGAAAGGGTATTTCTAGTTTATTTAACAGATAAATCTTAAACAATGACTAAATTCAGAGGCACTTTAGTAAAATAGAGATGTATCAAAGATAATGTTTTCGTTTTGTTTTAAAATATAAAAATGGATGCTCTGGAATACTTAAATTTAAAAGGTATTTAAAATATGTTAGCATAAATACAGTTTTATTTATAGACTATTTGGCCATAAAGAGAAAATCTGAGATGATTCCAATATGGCCTCCATTCCATTTATGAGGTTACAAAGGAAGCTGGTTCACTGCAATGCCTTATTTTTTATTTTCTCATACTCTTGGGAAATGACTTTTTTTTTTACTTTATTATATTAATAATGGCTTGACTTTTACACAGAGATTTGCGTCTGTATCTTTGCACCTACTTGAGGCATACATGATTCAAGTGCCTGCAAATGAGCTCTAGGACAAAGGTCACTGTGAGCATTGAAAACAAGTTCCAATAATTTAGTACAATGCAATGGTTCCTACAACTTTCTAAATTTGAAGTTACCCAGTACATTTTTTTAAAATAGGGGTAGGAGTCAAATCATTACATGAATAGTTTAATAAAAGGAGAATGGGGCCTTCCTGGTGGCGCAAGGGGTTAAGACGCAATCTGTGAAGCTATTGCAGCCGCTGCAGTACTAGTTCGATCCCCAGCTGTCCAAGGAGCAACCCACATGGCACAGCAGACCTCTCCTGACTCACTGCTGTTCCCCTCAGCAGTGTACTTCAGTCAATCCACCTGTTCTGTCCCCTACTCTGTCTCCGGTGAATCCTCTTACCCCCCTACACCTCTGACCTCTATCCCAGTTCTTGTATGCATAAATAAATCTTTTTTTTTTAAAAAAGGAGGATGGCATTGTGTTGTTATAGTAACACTGAACAAAACATCTCTGTATTTTTCTATTTTCATCTCACATATTAGAATTTTTCTTTCCTTTTTTTTCCTTTTTAATAAAACATAAAAGGACCGCACTATACACTTCTGAAATGAAATTATGGTAGCCAGCATTGCCAACACAGTGAAGGCAGGTTTTCAAGGGAAATGAGTAGTATCACATTGAAATTACGGGAGGAATTTAGAGTAGTGGAAGGTAATTGTGCGGGTAAGGGTACCCCAGAGCCTACAGTCATTTTGCAAAGAAAATTAACCTTCCAGGCAGTTCTATGCCCCTTAAAATAATGATGACACAAAAGCCTGAATAGGAAGACCCAACACCTCCTAAACACTGTTCACATGTGGGAGTTATCACCTAATACCAGCACCCTAAAATGTGTGATAATGCCTTCTGATCCAGAAGTGTAAGTTGGAAAGCAATTAGCTTTGAGGGAATAGAGTGATTATTGAAAATTTGCAGTTACTCTCCCTTTTCTGAATTAGGTTACTCAATTATATAACCCAAATCTCTCCTAATTCTGTTTGAAATTGTATTCTCAGAGCAACAGCAAAGGAGTATAGTACTGCACTAATAGACCTATCCCCACAATGTGGCAATTCTGTCATTAGGGAAGAGTTATTTTTGTGTGGTAATAATACAATATTCATTATCTTAAAGCTGCTTTCAATGTCATGTGCCTCATACCTCTGGACACATCACAGTTTAGTTAAATTACAAAACTAAAAGCTAAGGCCACAGGCTAAACTGACTGATAAATCAGGAGTGAAGAGTAAAAACACACTCTTTTCTGCCTACAACAAGAACAGAAATAGGCAAAACAAGTAAAATTAACCTGGTCAAATTGTCAACTATATCAGTGTATAAGGACATACCCTAGAAAGTCAGTGTGTTGCTCAATTTAAAGGAGATTTCATTACAGAGACATCATTTTGTGAGTTTGTGAGAATTCTGATTAGAGGCCTTCAAATTATAAGTCCACCAGGGCATCTGTTCCATGCATGTAGGTCAAGTCAATCTGGTTCAGGTGTCATCTGGGAGGAGGCTAACAAGTATCATCTTGGAATGAAGCTGACATTCATGGAAGCTACTGTTTGAATTGCACAACAATATGCAGATTCTCCACAGGTTCAGAAAACTGTTAGGTTCTTAAGTCTTAAGAAATCAACCCCAATGTCCTGCCACTTCTTATCTTGACAGAGTTTTAAAGTCCCTCTGCCTGAGCCATTCTGCTTGTTGCTGCCAGGCAGCATGCACTGGTGACACTGGTCATGGTACACACCTAATAGGCTGACCTCCTTTCCCGACTAATTGCATTACATCGCCAGCTGGCTCCAGAAGGAGTCGTCTGTTTGATTGAAGAATTCCTGCTCCTCAGTGGGCCCGGCTGCTACTTTTACTAAGTAACAGTCAGGCCTGACATCCCCATTGTTCAGCTGACAGTGTGCCCATCCTAAAATCTAAGTTTTATTTGTAAATTAACCAAGAAACTTCCTGCCAGAACAGTGCTGCCTGGAGACTGATAATGTGGGCCTTTCATCCCTTTTCACTCGTACTGTATCACTGCCAATTTGTTTTTTATGCGGCTGGCCAGCCTGAGGCTATAAAAGCCTTGTAAGACATAAGTGCAATTATAGTCCTGGAGTCAAATGAATTGGACAAATCCAATAGCACAGCTCTGTCCCCACTCTGCAAACCCCTACAGCAGTTAGATTAGCTGTGAAAAATCTAATCTAGCTAGAGCTAACAAATTTCTGCAGTGGAGGATCAAGAGTTCAGTATGGGGTTGCAACCGGATTGCAGAATTGAAAAAGTGTCCCCATGACAGGGGCAGAAGAGAGCATGAATCACTTTAGAATTTTGCAGCTCATTTTTAAGCTGTTAGGGACAATTTAGTTAGAATAAGACAAGGAACTGTGGGCTGCTGTTACTGTGACTGATTTTTAGTCTAGCTGTGAGACATCCTGATAAAGAGAGTTTGTCACTAATGATGCTAACTCTTGGAGCTGCAAAAGGCATCAGCTGAATTTTGATTATTACAGTGGGGAATCTTTCAAGCAGACCAAGTCTTGGAACATTATTTATAGCAAGATATTTTATCAAGAAGGCAGTATGTCTTTCTCAAAAAAAAAAAAAATACAACCCTGTTTCGTTAGGAAGTATTTAAAAAATATTTTATATATTAATCTATTTTTTAACAAAGTAGTTCTCAGGCATTAGAATATGTTGACACATTTGCAGAGTAGCACTGCAAATAAAAAGGATACATAAACCCAGCCCAGGGTCTTGGTTATCTGAAATTGATTTCTGAGAGTAGGGTCCCCCTCACTAGCAATATAGTAGCCAAGGCAGCCATCAAAACTGAAGGCAGCTCCCCTATACCTGTGAGAACCAGCACACAGCCAGCCAGAGGCGATGCGAGCATGGAGACCAGGGAGTGGAAGTCAATCAGGCCTCTACATCCAAGACACTCAGTCACTGCGAGAACATGAGGGCACATGAGCAGACTCACTGTTGCCCACCAAGTGCTTGGTTCAGACATCTGAGGCTGCAGTTGTGAAAAAGCAAAATCACAGAGGAAGAAGTAAAACAGGTACAGTGAGCCCCACTGGTTAATATCAATCATCTGCCTGATGGGGCAGGTGGAAAAGGATAGACAATGACAGGCTGAAATTACCCATTTACTTTACAACAACATTTGACACGGGCTATGTTTTTAGTCTCATTAAATAGTGGTGAAACTGAGGCTCAGGCTGGTCAAGTAACTGGATGCACATTTGAACCTTGGTGTGCCTGTCTTCAGACCCTGGCTATAATCACTACACATAGATCCCACAGTGGCCAGTTACGTCAACAGTTAAGTGACTCGTTTCCAAACTACTCAGATGCTGCTCTGAGTTCCATGAATCCTTGTAGGAAGAGGGGGTGTGAGATAGGAATTCCAGGCTCACTACCTGCTAGTAGGCTAGTAGCAGTTGCTCTTCTCATCTGGAAACTCACAGAAACGGGTCAGTCTTCTAGGTTTCCTTTCCAGACAAAAATCCCTCTTCTATTAAGGTGTTCTTCACTTCTAACAGAGGGGAATCTCAAGTGAACATTCTGCAGGTTGAAAACTAGAGAGCAGTTCCCCAGGGGGTTTCCCTAAGGGGTGAATTCTAGAGAAAATTGTCCATCAGACCCAGGCTGAAGGAGAACACAAGGTAGATGCTAAGAGTGAGACCCTGGGCAGCAGCAGACGTACTCATTTTGACAGATTTTGTCAAATTGCTCCACAGAAAATCTAAGAGATGCAATTTTCTCAGGGTCCCATCAATACAGGATCATTGGATCTTAAGATGTTGGTCAACTGGAGAATATCAATAACCTTAATTTTTGTCAGGTAATAGTCATTTAAAGGAATCCAAATGTAACAACATCTAAGACCCTTTCATTTCATAATCTCAGGATTTAAGACTGAAATGACTGCTTTTCATATATTTCTTTAGAATTAAGTATAAATGCAGAGTAAGTGTAAATGCAACTCAAGAAAAGCAACACTGCAGTTCTATCCAGAAGAATTCAGTGTCAGTGCATATTATGACACAGTCTTTGTTCAATTTTAGGAAAGCCCCTATAAATCTAAGAACATCTAAGAAGACCCCTTACCTTTTTGGTGAGTGAATCATCTGAGTCTGATGGCATCCGAGTAGAGACGTGGAAAATCACTTCCACGGTCGAGGTAGCATAGTAAGGGGCAGTCTGCCCTGTGCTGCCATTGCGCTGAAGTCCACCCATGAAGCCACAGTGGGTCGACAGATCCACCTGACACAGGTCACAAACAGGAAAAAGAATGAGGGTAAAACATGAGCTGTCTTACTCACTTCTGCCAGTTTTGCTCCCCACTCTGTCTTTGGTGAATCCACTCACTCTCCCATGCCTCTGGCCTGTATCCCAGTTCTTGTATAAAAATAAATAAATAAATCTTTAAAAAAAAAAAGCAATAGAAGATCTCTTCTTCATCAAATATAGTTAACATATATACTGAATCAATTAAAGCTCTAGTCTTTTCTTAAAACTCTAGTTAGGAGTGTATGGTTTATAAAATATATTAAATAATAAGTATATTCAATAACAAGAAGTAACCTTATTAGTAAGAAGAAGAATTTATTGGAATGGCAATAACAGAGTAAAACCAACTTGACTTCTCTCATACTTAAGGAATATATTTTTGTTTCAATTTATGTTTCTATCTGTGTGTGTGTGTGTGTGTGTATGCGTGTGTGTATATATGCATGTATGTAAATGCTTACACATCCCTTAGAGCATTATTTAGTAAAGAAAATAAAAATTTTTTCAATCAGTCATTCTGGGATCTAACTTAGGGAAACAGGTTGAGAGCTAAACCATCATGGCTACTATACTCTATTTTCATTCCAAGTTTTGACTTCATTCAAAACCTTCTTCATCTTTTCACCCACCAAGGCACTGATTTCTTCTCCAGTCTCCACATTGTGGCCAAAGCCATTGCTTCTTTGTCCATATTTGTATTCTCTTACTACAAACTGTCTATGACTGGGTGTGCTGATCTAACTATTCAGTTCTGATAAAATGTAAATTAAATAATATTAAGAGAAAAGTTAAAAGGAAACACAAGTTCATATATAAAGTACTAAAAGTAACTAATAGAAGATGTGAATATCTTCAATACATTATTTAATTCCAGAACTCAACTCATTATCTATTTGAATGTAAAACCATATGTAAAAAAAACAATGGAATCACATGACTCAGCTATTCCACTCCTAGGTATCCACTCAAAGAACATAAGAACAGTAATTTGAGAGGAAACCTGTTCTTTTATGTTTACAGCAGCATTATTTACACAGTCAAGATAGGGAAAAAACCTAAATGCCCCAAAACAGATAAGTAAATCAAGAGGATGTTGTATATATACACAATGGAATACTACTCAGTAGTTAAAAATGATAAACCCATGCCATTCATGACAACATGGATGGAGCTGGAAGGGATTATGCTAAACAAAATAAACCAGGAGAAAGATAAATTCTAGAGGGTTTCACTTATATGTGGAATATAGAGAAACCAAACAAAGGGTCAAAGACAAACTTTAAAGCAAACCCTTGAAAGCTGACCATAGATCTGAGGCATCCAAGAGGGGAGAAGAGGGGGTGCAAATAGAAAGAGCACAATGGACTATGGTAGAAGACCATGGAGGCTTTGGTGTTGGGAGAGTTACAGTGACCATACCTGAGGGGAGAAATCCTATACTGTGCAAAAATTAATAAGGATGTAAAATAATGATACTTCAATAAAAAAATAAATGAATTAAAAAAATAAAAAGAAAAAAAACTTATGCAATGAATATCAAATTTAGATAAATCTTTAAATAGTGCTGGTCAAAAAACACCTACTGAACGAAATGAATTACCTCCCATCCAAGTCCAGCAACAAAGTCTTCATATGCTTGGCTTCCTCTTTCATTGGAGAGAATTGAACACTTGTCTTCTTGACCTTCAGCGATATAAAACACTGCAATTTTGTGTGTTTCACGGCTGTAAATTTTTAAATTTAAAGGAGTTAGAATTCTTACATGTAAAATTTTATCTTACTATCACCACCAACAGGACTCTTATGATAGGGCTTACATTTATGGAGGGGTGAATCATTGTTCTAAGGGTCAGTCCCTGTTCCAAGATGTTTCTTCTTTTTTTTTGTTTAATGATCTCATTTATTCTTTGCAATCACTCAAGTGAAGCAAGTATTATCATCATCTTTCTTGTAGAGGTGTCTGAAGGGCCGTATACGTTAAAACAAACACACATAGCAAGACCAGGGATTGAAGCAGGCAGTCTGGTTCTTGAGATCACCCTCTCAGACATACAGTAGACTTAATACCATGTTACACTTTTTTTGACCCATTTTCTCCATTTTTGGTTGAAAATATCTTTGAAAACATTTCAAATATATATTAACTGTGAATAGATCTATGTGATTGCCCAAATTCTACTTTCTACATTTTGAGATAAGACTATTGGATAGTTCAGATTGGAAACTGAAAAATATGCCAAAACTTGAGAAACAGAAACTTCTCCCAGGCAGAATACAGGTACTTTCTTTGTGAGGGGTGTACCCACCCTCTGCTCTGACTAATCTGCACCTGTCTGACAGGTTAGACAGCTGTCCAGGGAAACCTCTGGCTCTATAAACCCTTCATCCACTTTTCTATGATGGATTTTTCACATTCATTGTTACATCAAGTAAATATAATAGGTTATTTGAGGAAAGAAGGCCTGATTTTTAACTCTTTTTACATCTAGCACAGCCCTTGGCACATGGTTAAGTGCTCAGTTAAATCACAAACTCACTGGCGATCTGACCATTCTAGTCTTATTTTCTAAAATTTTTGGATTACCACTTCCAAAGATTTCTATTCTTTTTCATACTTTGGCATTGCATTCTGAAAACTCTCATTTCACTATGAAGTGCATAAACAATATGAAAATGTTTCTATTTCCTAATTGTTCAATATCTCATCATTGTAGTATCATTGTAGATAACCATATTGGTGATATGGTTAACATATTCTTAAGTATATCCTTCCGCAACACTTATGTTTCTACTTATAGGCAGAATTAATTGAAATTTACCTAAATACATGGAGGAAGATAATATTCCTTTAGTCATTCAGATAACTTCCTTATACAAACCCCCAACAGTTTACATGTAATAAACATAGTTAGAAGAAAAATTAGAAAATATAGAAAGGAAAGAGAAGAATAAAATAAAATACCTGTGATTTCAATATATAAGCAATGAGCATTAACTTACATTTTTAGGATGTATTCATTTTTGAATACAAAAAATGAAAAGCTACTATGTTCTCTTTTACAACTGATTTTTTCACTTAAAATATTTGTGGATACTATTTTTATTGTGTAAAATATATATAACATAAATTCACCATTTCAACCACTTTTGAGTATGAATACTTTTGTACTATGTGCTTCTATAGCAAAATTATTAATGGCTACGCAACACTCTGTTACATTAACACACTGTATCCCAAATGTTCATTATTAGACATTTAAATAAATAAATAAATTATTATCATAAATAAATTTATAGAAATGGAATCTAGCTTTTATGGCTGTCAATGTGCACTGTTCTGCTGTTAATGGAGAGGGTGGACATCCTGGCATGACATGAACACACTCTTGGGGGTTACTTCTCTTGAAGGAAACAGAAATTGTGGGGACAGATTAGTTTTGTGGTGATGGATCCTAGGGGTTGATGTTCTCCTAGAGACCTGTGCTCTCAGACTGTCAGAATACTTGTCTTTATGCATTATGAAGCTCCAAAAGTGGAATAACACTTTCTCCCCGAGTGGCAGGCAAGGGACATTGACAGCCTAGAATAATAATTAGCTTATTCTCAGAGCTTTAATAATCTGTTCAGATGATAACAGAGATCAGAATGTAAGGAGAAAAAAGTATAGTTACAATTTCTTTCTGCACCTCTCTATAGTTAAAAGTCCTCTGTACTTAATTTTCTGCTATTCTATACACTGTATACATAAAAGAACCACTGGTTTCTGTTATTTTCCTTAAAGTTCTAAGTCACAGCTTTTTTTCACATTGTAACTGCACACAAGTCCTTGAGTCCTCATTAACTCAAAGTAGGAGAGCACAAGAGAATTAAGTACCAATGACTGCCTGACTGATGTAGGTGTGAGGAAAGGTGACCTTTAGCTGTAAACATTCATCAAATTTCACATCCTCCAAAATGTTAGCACCACAGAGAGCCTGCTAGGATGTAGACACTGCGTCTGGCCTTCCCAGGGCCAGGCTTTTGAAATGATAATTAGCAACATCAACTGTACTTCATATCCATAAGCAGCACTACCAGTGCTGAAAGGATCAGGTTATTCAAAAACACACATACACACAATCAACAATTTCCTCTTCCCCATTAGAATGCATTTTTCTTATTGGGAGTAGATCAGAATAGGTCAGTTTCCTTGAGCTCTCACATTAAAAAGCAAAACAAAGAAAAAAACCTGATTTTAACATTCATGTTACCATGTAGTGGCAAGAGGCGTTCATATTCAAAGGGAAAACTCACTGTAATTTGTATGTAGCTCCATCACACTATTTGCAACCTCACCAACTTCAAGATATATAGACAGAGTTGCAAATAGTTTCTACTTTTCCTAACACATGCTAAGCACTATGACTTGATAGAAGGGAGATAAATTGATATGAAAAATAAATAAAAACATCCTAAATTGAAATTCATGGGACAAGGTATTCTTACCTGCTAACTGGTCAATAGGGGACAGTCTAGATTTCTTATACTGAAGATTTATTTATTTTTTTTTAACAAAAAGAACCTTCAAAATACTCTTTACCATAAAATGAGTTGATAACTATTTAAATGTCAATAAGACACTAAATCTAGGAGTTGGGGTTTTAAGTGAAGGTTAATCAAGGGCCAGAGGATTTGCCAATCAGCTCTCCAAAGCCATATTTTACTCAACAGCACCCCAGGGAGTTAATTCAATTGTACCTCATGAAACTAAAGTGCATTAACATCCAACAAATTGGCCACAATTACAAGATACCAATGTATTCACTTAATACTAAGAAGCACAGAATAATTCAGCATATGCTTGAAAAGCTGAGTTTGGAACCCAAATGATTGCATGTTTAACAGTGGAAGACAAGAGGAACAGGTAAGTGAATCCCCAAGTCCTTCAGAAGAAACCAATCACAAACTTAGTCTCTATTTCTCTAGAGGAAAAGAAACATAACAACAATTGGAAACTGAATATGATAAAGGGCAATGTGAGGAACAATGGCTCTGGCTTCAGGTTTTTCATCTCTAATGAGATATCTAATGATATTTCTAAGGGGAATAGAAGAGAAACAAAAAGCCATTTTTAAAAATGGTTTTCTTAACTACTAAAGATTAAGAACAGTTTATTCTTTTTAAGACTTTTAAGTACTAATTGTGTACCAACTACTACACTTACTCTTGACAGAGATGTTTTTGGAAGCACACATATCCTCAAGTCAAAAACTGGCTGTGAGCTCATCTTTAGAATTGCTTCTGAGATTGTGACCTGAGGTTTGACTGACTTTTAGAGAATGCTTTGGAGCACTGAAGAATGAGGCTTTTTACTAGAGAGTTATTAATTACAACATGATAGTTTTAAACCTGCCAATATTGTAGAGCAGAGACTATAGAGTGCCGGCACATCCAGGACAAAGCACAGGTTCTAGAGTCAGTCTTGCTCACTTTATATAACAGTGTATGTGAGAACACAGTCAGTCTGTATGTCCCAGGTAAGCCTCTACTCCTCAATAGAAAAAGAGACGGCTGCAGAGATAAAATGAGAATGAATGTCCTCAGGCTGCCACATGGAAAGATCCTCAAAGGCACAGATTTGGTGGGAGCACTGACCTTTTTTTAGTATAGGAAACTTAAAAGTTTATTCATCAAAGGCAAAAGTATTAAAGGGATAGCATGTGCAAATATGACCTGCTTGTAGGTTACAGAACCACACTTGGATGTCTGTAGGTGTGTTTATTTCTGTGGCTATATCTGTCATCTAAGTACACACAGAGAGACAGGAACAACAGTTTGATATACTTTCACATACCACTGACGGGAGTCCAGATTTTTCAGCTCTCTCAATAATTTTGAATTTTTCTTCAGCAGATGGAAATTTTTCCTATAAAGAAAAAGGGATGAAAGAAATCATGTAATCCCCAACCATTTTTGCCTTTTCCAGTCAATCAATTAACAAACCTTCCTATTCATCCATTCACATATCTATTGATCCATTGCTTACCTCCTTCACCAATGATTTGTGATGGAAGCCTACAGAACGAACGCTGTTCTCTCCGAGATGTTCAAAGGCCTCAAAATTCCTTTGCATCCCATCACTATTCAGTGACACTGGATGGTTTTGCCTTCACTGTTAGCTCTGCTGTGAATCTCTTTTCCTCACCTCTGTTCTTAAAAACGCCATTCTACCTTCAGGGTCTAGCTCAAGTCCATCACTCCCCACTGGGCTTAGTTATTGCTCTTGAACTCTGTGTGATGCTATCTTTCACTAGAGTTGTATGAGTCTACCTCCCTCACTAGACTTAAGATCACAATGACTTATTCATCCTTGTAGACCATTCACAACTTTTGTGAAGACAAAAGCAGTAACAGAGCATAATTAAACACCCAAACACAGAAATGTTTGATACCCTTTAAAATATACAACAGATGTCTGGAATTCAATCTGTGCATGAGAACAGCACAATCAGCTTTATTTCTAACTTTAACTTAGCAGCAGAAAACAAGCTATAAATGCTTAAATACAGAAAAATCTCCATTCCTGTTCTCCGCTTCCCCAACCCCAAACTGATAAAGGATCAATCATATTAAAATAATGATAAAATAATTAAAGATCTAAAGCATGTTATTACCTTCTGTCCCAAGAATTCATTCCCAAGTCATCCAGCAACAACCTGCAGAAGTAAAAGGGTCCTTGGGGCTCCACTGGCGTGGGCTGCTCCTGGCTAGTGACTTTCATGGCTGAATCGGAACTACACCTCTGAACGTACTCGTTTTCTTGTGCATTCTGACGCAAAATGACCTTGATGATTTCTTTCTCTTGATCACAGTTCATTCCACATGGGGGTGGGGAAGGTTCATTTAGATTTAATTGTGATGGTAAAAGACATTCAGGACTTGTATGGCCAATGTTTTCAAGTAATTTGTCAAGGACATCATCTCCCTCTTCAATATGAGAAATATCTTTCTGAGGTCCAAATGTTTGATGATGCCAGCCCGAAATCAGATATGGATTCCTGCCATTGGGGCCTAAGCACCCTTCCAAAGGTCCATATAAAACCTTCCCATCCCAAGAGTATTTCCCTGAGATATCCCTCACAATTACTCTTACATTAGAGAGGGCACCCACTGGTGACCTGTCTGCGGGTCTTTCTGTGGGTGTCTGAAGGTAGGAGATGAGGGTGCTGTCATTAAAAACAAACAGCTGCAGGTTTGGACTCCGGAACACCTCTGAGGACAGCTCAGTGGCTTCCGCGTGTGCATTGTCATGGTTCTCGCTGACCAGGCTGTGCAGCACGGCAGGGCCTCTGCGGAGAGGGAAGTGGCCCAGGTGGTTCACCAGGTGAGCCATGACCATTCGGGCAGTCAGAGGGATCAGCTCTAGACTTCTTCTCTTCCTCTCTGAAAAGCAGCAAAGAAACATACAGTGGTGGTGGAAAATAAAAATTCAAACTGAACATGATCAGCTTTCTAGTTGTACTTAGAATTTTTGATTTTTTTGTTAGTCTGGGAATTTTTTTCACTTCATTTGTCTTTGACACTAATTCTATTTAAGTTTCAAAGCATGATTTAACTAGATTGCTAAAAGAACCTACTTACATGAAGATTTATTCCGAAAGGGACATTTAAAAATCTGTAGGTACAGTAATAAATACAAGAGAAAGGTCCTGTCCTTAAAGGGCTGAGGGCTCCAGAAACTCTATGGAGTCAGAATCCAGTTGAAGAGGACACAGAGAGCAGGGGCCGGGTTGGGGTTAGAGTTACCCCTCTCTAATCAGTGGGGTAAAAGTAGACAATGATAAGGAAATGAAGCAAGCCTGTGTCTGCTTATATATACTTGAAGCAATCTGCTTTAAAGCCATTGTGTAATTTATGCTTTATCATTAAGGCATTTTAAACATTTGAGAGAATTTGTTGTATGAATAAGTTACAGATACTTGGAGGGTTTTAAGTAAATTTGTAGCTGATGATTAAATGTCCAAGAGCAACAGATTTATAAACACTTTAAAATTTCAAATATACAGAAAGACTTTGACAATAGCATGTAAACACAGGTCTTGTAAAGTGTTTGAGGTATGAGAAGCATAAAAAGCTATACTAAATCCACAAATATGCACTGAAATGAACTACTTAAGCTTGAGGGTACTTAGAGAAATTTTAATCTATCAAATTTAGAAAAGAATTGTGCAAAATCTAAGAACAATGAAATTAAAATGAAACCTAATTTTAATTAAAAATTGCCATGTACATAAACCAAGATATATAGTTTGGGCTTAAAGGTTTGGGAAATACTTGATTTCCAAATTCTCAATGTGAAAAATCAAATGTAAATAACTACAAATAGGCTTTTTCATGTGAAAAATCCATCCCCTTGGACATTAAAAATCCAAGTGGGTTATTTACAAAACATCAATTTTATTATGTTTAAATCCTAGAAGCAATCAAATCCTAGAGTCTAAGAAGTTCTGTGTGATGACTAACAAGACTGTCCTGACTTTTTTGAGGTTATTTTTTCTTTTCAATGAACAAGAAATTATTTGCATTCGGTAATGTAATTCTGTATTTAAAAAAATCCTCATCCTGAAATTCATATGGAATCACAAAAAACCCCGAATAGCCAAAGCTCTCCTGAAAAAAAAAGAAGGGAATGGAGGCATTACACTCCCAGACTTCAAACTATACTACAAAGCCATAATCATCAAAACTGCATGGTATTGGAACAAGAACAGACATACAGACCAATGGAATCGAATAGAAAATCCAGAAATAAATCCACAGATTTATGGTCAACTAATCTTTGACAAAGGAGCAAAGACTATGCATTGGAGCAAAGAAAGTTTGTTCAATAAATGGTGCTGGGAAAACTGGGTCGCTACATGCAAAAGAATGAAGCTTGACCACTACCTCACACCATACACAAAAATCAACTCAAAATGGATTAAAGAACTAGACATAAGACCTGAAACCATAAAATATATAGAAGGAAATATAGGCGAAACACTACGTGATCTGCACATCAAAGACATCTTTACAGACACATCACCCAAAGCAGTGATAGTGAAGGCAAAGATAAACAGCTGGGACTACATCAAATTAAAGAGCTTCTGCACAGCAAAAGAGACAATAACAAAAACAAAGAGAAACCGCACCAACTGGGAGAACATTTTTGCACCCAACACTAATGATAAAGGACTGATCACAAAAATCTGCAAAGAGCTGATGAGACTCAGCAACAACAAAGAAAATAATCCAGTCAAAAAATGGGCAGAAGAGCTAAAAAGAAACTTCTCTGAAGAGGAAATGCAAATGGCCACCAGGCATATGAAAAAATGTTCAACATCACTTGCCATCAGGGAAATGCAAATCAAAACTACCATGAGATACCATCTTACACCAGTGAGAATGGCACATATTAAAAAAACTAGCAACAACAAATGCTGGCGAGGGTGTGGAGAAAAAGGAACTCTTCTGCACTGTTGGTGGGAGTGCAAACTGGTCCAACCACTGTGGAGAGCTGTGTGGAGATTTCTGGACCTACTAAACATAGAGCTTCCATATGATCCAGCAATTCCACTCCTAGGTATTTACCCAAAGGACACAGAAACATCAATTCCAAAGAACACCTGCACCCCTATGTTTATAGCAGCACTGTTTACAATAGCTAAGCTTTGGAAACAACCCAAATGCCCAAAAATAGATGACTGGATCAAGAAGATGTGGTACATATATACCATGGAATATTACTCAGCATTCAAAAAAGATAAACACATGCAATTTGCAGCAACATGGATGGCGCTGGAAGGGATCATGCTCAGCGAAATAAGCCAAAAAGAAAAAGAAAAATACCGGATGGTCTCACTCATAGCAGGAATCTAGAAAACTTAAATAAGGGACCAGGAAAATGAATAACTATAAGAAAGTGAAAATCAAAATCAACAAAAAACTATGAACCAGAGACACTTTTAGGGGGGCGGGGGCGGGAGGGGAGGGATTGGGGTCAGAATGGGGGGCTGCAATTGTATGGGGAATATAACAATAAAATTTATAAAAAAAAAAAAAAAATCCTCATCCTTTAGAAGCAAAGGAAGTCATCTACATCCATTTCTGAAGTTAACTGTTCTTCTCAATCTTTGTGGAAGTGTGTATGATTTCTGTATAGCTGAAAAATTTAAAACATCTCAACTAATTTCCTTGAAGGCATTTATGAAGGTTTTTGCTTTTGTGTCCATATTAACTTTTCCAAAAGTTATAGATGTTCTTTGTTCATTCTTAACATTCCATGTGAATGTATGTGCCATCAAAAATATTAATTAAAGCCCCAATGCACTCTACTTAGTTGGGTGATCCAGTGCTGAGTGGGGATGACATTTTAGAGTAGATTATGAAAATAACAATAAAGGTCCAATTTGGCAAAATTCAATGCTGAAAATAACAATGAGAAAAGCAACTTTTCTCAAAGTTTTGTGCTTTCAATTTGAGATGAATATAAAATGTTTTTAATGAATGTGTTTGAATTCTCCAATGGGAAATTAACCTGGAATCACACTAATCAAGTCAAAATCAGTACACACTCAATAAAAATCAAAAATATCTTTGGTGCTTGCTGAGAAGTAAGAGAAGGGAATATTTATAAAATAAGGATTGGCAGACTTCTGCAAAATCAATTGCCTGAGGGTTCACTCAAAATGAAGAAAAATAATCCAGATTCCATTAATGAAGAAACAAGTTCATAATTTCCACAAACTATGAAAAATGCCTTTCAAATATCTTTACTACAGTTTTCTAAATTGGGTATGAAATATAAAAAGAGAAATTTTAGATTGCCCTTTGACTTTCATTTTTAAAAGTTCATCCTTTTCCTTTGTAAGAAATTAGGTATTAATAATTATACAATTGAGCACATGTGCAAGCTATTTCTTGAGTTGGGCTAGTAGCGACCTCAGCTGTAGGTATTGACTCATGTTTGTAACTCTAGTTGAATGTAGTAATTATAGTAAATAGTAGGCATAGGTCTTTGAAGGAATCATTTGAAAATAAAAAAAAATATTGCTTATTAGAAACATTATCTGAGTAGAAATGGTTTGGTTATGATTGATGAGTTATGATGGTGAATTTAAAAAAACTCAAATACGAGCACATTTAACCTAAAACTCCTAAGCTATTAATTTTATTTTCCTTTTTACCCTTAATAGGAAGTACCACTCAGAATGTGTTTATGCATACCAATATGTTTATAGGCTTTTTTCCTTTGTTATTTAAAATATAAATTAAAAAATTTTAAATTCCTTTGTATTATAGGATTAAAGGATTACTTTCATCTCCACAGAACTGTTAGGACAAGTTTGCATACTGTCCTCCAGGTTTCTGGAGAATGAATATTCTAGTCAGAGTGTTAGTACATCAAAAGAAAAGTGGTACCAAAATTAAAATGTGCAATTTTAGATTCATTCTTTTTTTACACTAACTTATTCATGTTGCTATTTTCAAGTGACAAGTCACAGGTGATGAATTTAGGTATAGTCATGTATGATGAGTGTAAATTAATGACTTTAGGAAACGTAATTTTCTTTTAAGGCATGTTCTGCAAAGTAGGAAACAACAAAAGAAACAAATCAAGGGTCACTCTGATCATTTAAAAATATACAGTTTGAATTTCTAACTGTGGAAAAGAAGTCAAGAAAACATTCAAGTTTAAAAGGACAATGGAACTCTAGGAAAAGACAATTAAATAATTAAGCAAAGGAGGGCAACTAAGAGTAACACGTGAAAATGTGTGTGTTGTATGTTCTGGCCATATATCATCACCAGCAAAACAACTTATAATGAGAGTCATTAGTTCACTGTGAAACAAAATCTCAAAGGATAAATATTTTATAATTGGGGAACTTGTTAATTGACTAAATCCAAATACCACTTCCATTACTTCTGACTTGTCCACCCTTTAGAAAATATATTCACCTCAGTTTGCTAATATTCTGACTGTGAATCAGAGTCTTTGCTCTTCACTGTTGCCCCCCACTTGCCCTCCTCCCCCTCACCATTCCTATCTCTTTTCTCTCAGCCTGAACCACCCTCAGTGGTGATTTCTTCCAAAAGCTCCATCCTGGGCCAATCACTTCATCCATCCCTTGCCTGATCAATGCTTAATCTCTCCACCAAAGCCCCATAAAAGGGTCTGAGCCTGGATTCTGAATGGCCATCTCCCAGGTCACCTGCTCATGTTATGGCTACAGACCAACTGCTCTACCAAAACCACCCTGGCAAAACCCTTTACCAAACGCACAGCTGGGAAATACAATGGCTCTGCGTTGGACCCCCTGAGCTTTGGAAGTACCTAGCACTGCCGGCCTTTTGTGGCTCTTTACCCACTTTCTTCCCTTGACTTCCTAGAAATGACTCTTGGTTCTTCTTCCATTTCCCTGACTGCTCTCCTGGTGACCATCCGTCACTCCTTTTTCTTTAAGGCTAGATGATCTAACACTCCAGATTCACATTTTTTTAAAACTTTATTTAAACTTTGAGAAATTTAAAATTCATATGTACTTGTAAGAAAAAAAATATAGAGATCCCCAACATCCGTCACCCAAATGGTAACATCCTGCATAGCGATGATAGAACACCATAATCAGAAAACTGACATTGATACAATTCATCAGCACTCAGTTGACTATTTTTACATGTTCTTTGTGTGTGTATGTTTGGTTCGATGCAATTTTATGATACCCAAATTTTGACTCAAACTCTATGATGGGCTCTTGTTATTTTAAGTGCCCTTAGTCCTGATGATACCCACATGCTTCAAAATAGACCCTCTGCCATGAGAGGAGCAATCCTAAAGCTATGCCAAGTCAACCCCACCTTGTGCTTCACGATGCTCTCATAGTATGGTACACTTTATGAACTTTCAAAGCGTGTACATTCTTCTAAGTCTGGCTTGAGCCTTTCCCCATGGGAAATCCCCATGCATTTCAGTGCGTATTTGTGGATTTAGTATACACTTTCATGCTTCTCATACCTCAAATACTTTACAAGACCTAGGTTTACATTTTATCGTCAAATTCTTTCTATATATTTGAAATATTAAAGTGTTTGTAATATCAGTTGCTCTTGGACATTTAATCTGTCTCTCCCATTATATATATAACCTTGGGGAAAAGAAAATGAGTCTTTTTTTGGGGGGGGCACATGGATCTGAGATATAAGGTTTCTCAATAAAACAAAATTCAACTCAGATGGGAAAAGAGAAGGGAGGAGAAGAAACAGGAAATATAAAAAGGAAGGAGGAATTTGCTATCATAGGATTTAAATAACTAGGTTAAAAAAAATAACAACGGCAAGCATACGCAAAGGCTACGATCCTTTCTTTTCCTGACCATAGGAATTACTATTCTGAAGACTCTCACCCTCTTCAACAGTAAGTAGGTTGCCCAGATCTGCTGATGAATGATATTGAAGTGGCTCAGAATTTTTCACATTTGCCAGTGGCAGGAAGGGGTCGTAATCTGAGGACGACAGATCAGCCAGGGTCAGCGTATAGTGACTCTGTTGTGTGTATGTACTTGAACCACAAACACAACAGTGTAGAACCTGTGAAAAACAGAAGGGAGTGTATGTTATAGAAGTCACCAACCTCCTGTCTCCTGACAATCTGTCCAACTCAAAAACACTTAGGAGGTAGGACTCTGGCTTGGTAATACTTGAAAACATTGAATGATTTTTATTCTAAAATATCTCTTTGCTATTAGTAAGTCTATTTTGCTCTTTTTGCATCAGTGCCAATAAATATATTCTCAAAGAAAAAACAAAAGTAAAAACTTGCTTATTTTGCTATTCTACTCCAGTGCACCAGAGGCAACACAAGTAGAAAGAACTAAATCAGATGACGTCACACGGTAGACAACCAGCACCCAAAGTAGAGGACAGAATGAAACCAATTAACAGTGGCCATGAGTTTATTCCATAATCATGCATGAATTTGAATTAGTATAAGTCTTGACCTCATAAATTGGAAGGGCTAACTTAATTTTTAACCTGGTCTCATTTGTACACATACAAGCCATACAAATGAAAATCATCCTGAGTAAGCCAAAATATATAAAATTAACTTATAAATTTGTATAAAATTCTACTTCACCATAAATTCAAAAAACTTTTTTTTATTAAAATCAAAGTAATACTTTAAAAATAAAGGACACAGGGCCTCCTGGGTGGTGCAGCAGGTTGAGCGCCACACTGTGAAGCTGTCCGCAGCCTCTGCAGTGCAGGTTCCATTCCAGACGGCAAGAATCCCGCAGCAGACCAATCCTGTCACGCCCTCTGCTCCCCTCAGCAGTGTATTTCTGTCGTCTGCCTGTTCTGCTCCCTGCTCTGCCTCTGGTGAATCCTCTCACCCTCCCGAGTCTCTGGCCTGTATACCAGCTTTTGTATAAAAAAATAAATAAATCTTAAAAAAAAAAAGAAATAAAAAGAAATAAAAGAAACACCTTTGGGTTAAATATATTTATAGAAAGTAAATTCACATTTAGATGACTAGTTTTGATTTGCCCACATGGCACAAGGGCTTGTGTCAGTCAAGTTAGTGATGTTCTATGTGTATGTGTATGTTTCTCTGGGACTGGAGAAACAAACTTTGTACATGGTTAAAAGTACCAAAAATTGCAGTTAACAGTATGAATATGTTCTTTTCCTAGCAAAAAAGCTGTATAGGAAAATTCTTATGGTACTTTCTTACTCACATAATCATCAAGCTTCTGTTATTGAGAGAATTAATTGCTATTAGTCAAAGGCAGTAAATGCAGGGAATACAAATTAAAACCACAATGCAATACCAATGCATACCTATCAAATACTAGCAAGAATATGGAGCAGCTGCAATTCCCAGACACTATTATTGATGATGTAAATTAGCACAATAACTCTGAAAAATTATTTAAAATTCACTTGCTTTTGTATTCTAGCAACTCCACTCCTAGGTATATACCCAACAGAAATGCATACACAGGTATACCAAAAAACATACTACAATAGAATGCTTACAAAATATTTTTTATGGTTCCAAACTCCAAACTATCCAAATGTCCCTCAATAGTAAAATGGATAAATAAATTGTGATTTATTCTCACTGTATAATACTAAAGAGCAATGGCAGTGAAAAATCTACTATTTACAACAACATGAAAGAATCTGCAAAAATAATGTTGACAGAAGGATGCATCTTAGATTTACTTAAAGACATATGATTCTAACTATATAAAGTTCAAAAATAGGGAAAACTAACCTATGCTGTTATCACTGATAGGATAGTGGTTATGCCTGGATATGTGTCTGGGTTAGTGACTTGGAGGAGGCACAATGAGCGCTTCCTAGATGCTAAGGATGCCCTGTGTCTAGAACTGGGATCTGGTGCTCACCCTGTGAAAATTCATCAAGCTTTGCAGTTTTTTAAAGGATGAATTTAAATGATTATGGCTACTTGGCTTAAGCCAAGTTTCATACAGGTTTTTTAAGCTAGGAGATGACAAAAGTATTAAATTAATTCTAACAGTTATTAAAATCTTTGAATACTGATGAAACCATTCAAAAATATAGTATTTTTTTTCAGTACAATTCAACCACAGTATTTTTTTTTAATTTAATACATGCTAAAGTATTAAAGTCATCAGCTAATGACTTTCTTTTTTAAAATTATTATTAAAGGTTTGCTACTAAAAATAAAACAAACAAAAAAGAAAAACTCCAACAGAACTATTAAAAAATAGCAATTATTTAATGGACACACAAATGATAAATATAGTACATAAACAAATAAGGGTTTGCAGAAGGATTGCTATAGAAGGATACCGTCTATATATGCATATAGACACACTATATATATATATATATATATATATAAGTGTGTGTATATGTATGCATATATATAAAAGGATCTACAGCAAAGGCCACTTAATCATTAACAGGGAGTGAAACCCAAGTATTTTATGTGCTATAAAAATGAGGTTAATTATTTTGATGTGATTTATTTATTTCTTGCATTCTTTTAAAGCAAAGAAATTAAAGCTTTTTATACATTTTTCTTCCTTTTATAAGCATGTTTGTCAAACTAAGGCTGTGTATATTTTTAAAACAGTTCTTTAAAAAAAAATAAGTAGATTCAGATCATATTACCTGAAAATTCAAGAAATATAATTAAACTGCAATTGTTCAAAGATGACAATCATACATCAATCACTTAGTAATTATTGCTTCTCTACAACTATTTTGTTTTTACCCTTTCAGTTATTCATTTTTTTCAAACTGTTAAACCCACCATAAATCCTTTCCTAATGGGCACAGAGAAATAAGTAAATGTAAAAAGCATATTTTGGTCATCCTGACACTTAGGTCCACATTTATGTTCCTAAGGTCCAGTTGGAAACTCACCCTGTAGATATAATCCAGTAAGGGGGCTCGGGGTGAGTGATGTTCCTCCAAGGCCGCCGTGGACACTGGGTGGAGAAGGGCACTCACTGGCAATGCCATGCACCAATCCAAGAGGCAGAGTAGCAAGGACACAATAAACTGGAAGCGGAAACAGGCCGAATAGCTTATACTGCAATATAACTGCACTTTACTATAGGTTATAACAGACACTAAAATTGTCCTTACGTAACAGTAATTATTCAATAGACACACTAATGCAAAATGAATGAATGAATGAATGTTTTCACAGGAGAGATGTTTAGCACCAATACAGAAAGGATATCCCTACATGTAACATTACTTATCAGTCTGTCTGACACTTTTAAAACAAAGTATAGGGAAAACATAGTAAAGTGTACCTACCTTCTTATCTGTTTCCACTGAGGAGTACTCTGCACTTGGTAAAAGAAAAGCAATTGTGGCCACAAGAATCTGCATAAAAGACAAATGCACAGCCAAACAGTAAAAAGTTAACATCCAAAACAAATAAAGAACTCATATAACTAAAGTTAAAAAAAATCCAATTAAAAAATGGGCAGATCTGAAAAAACATTTTTCCAAAAGAGACATAGATGGCCAATAGGTACATCATCACTAATCATTAGGGAAATGCAAATCAAAACCACAACAAGATTATTACTTTGAACCTGTTACAATGACTATTATCAAAAAGATGAGAGGTAATTTGGAGGTTATGGAGGTTATGGAGAAAACGGAACCCTCGTGCACTGGTGGTAGGAATGTAAATTTGTACAATCATTAAGGAAGATAGTAGAGAGGGTCCTCAAAAAAACTAAAACTAGAACTACCATATGATCCACCAATTCTACTTGTACACTTGATCTTAGCCAAAAGGCTAAGACCAATTTTACTTCTGGGTAAATATTTGAAGAAAACAAAAACACTAACTTGAATGATAACTACAGTCATTTTCAATGCAACATTATTTATAATAGCCAAGATAATTGAAACAACCTAAGTGTTCATTAGTGGATGAATGGATAAAAAAATGTGGTAAGTATATACAATGGGATACTATTCAGACATAAAAAATAGCGAAATCTTATGTGGAAAATAAATTCTAATGTAAATGTTTCAAAAAAGTTATAGACAGGGCCTCCCCGGTGGCGCAGCGGTTGAGCGCTGGGTTGCGAAGCTGCCCGCGGCCTCTGCGGCGCCAGTTCGATCCCCGGCTGCTTCCCGGCCACCGGAGGAGGGTCCCACATGGCGCGCAGACCTCTCCTGCCGCCCGCTGCTCCCCTCAGCAGTGTACTTCGGTCCTTCTGCCTGTTCTGCTCCCCGCTCTGGCTCTGGTGGATTCTCTCACCCTCCCGCGCTTCTGACTGTACCCAGTGCTTGTATAAACAAAACAAACAAATAAATAAATAAATAAAAGACTGTCACTTTAAAAAAAAAAAAAAGTTATAGACATATCCAACTAATGTCTGCTTTTTGGGGGAGGGCACTAGGATTGAATATTCTAGTCAAGAAGGTATTGTTATCAGTAACGGGAAGTAAACAATGTAATAATATAATAAGATAATATCCAGCCATGAAAAAAATAATGAAATTTTGCCATTAGCAAAAAAATGGATAGATCAGATCTTGAGGGAATCATACTGAGTAAAATAAGTCAGATAGAAAAAGACAAATACTATATGATTCATATATATGTGGAATCTAAAAAAAAAACAAAACCAAACATGACCAAGTTGATAGAGAACAAATTTCTTGTTGACAGGAGTGGGTGAGGGTGGTAGGTAAAATGGGTGAAGGGAATCAAAACGCATATACATCCAGTTATAAAGTTTAAGTCAGGAGAGAATGTACAACATGGAGACTATAGTTGGCAGTACTGCACTATTTATTTGAAAGAGAGTAACACTTGTAAGAGAGTAAAACTTGAATATTTATTTCTATAGTCACAAAAGTTCTATCATCAGTCTCCACACCTTTCACAATGAAGAAAATAAATTTTCAAAAATAATTATGAAAATCCTCTCATTTAATTCTCTTATAAATTATCCCAGGTTCCCATCTGCTGTCCTAGTGTAGTAGCATGTTTCATTTTCACAAGTATTACCATTTAGATGATACATTATAAGGTTGTCCTAAAACCAGGCTTTACATTTTGCAGTATCTTATACTCTTATGTCCAAAACTATTTCACTCCAGGCCACTGAAAGTCAAAAATCACAGATTTTTGATGTATTGTTGAGAATAAATTGGTTACACTGGTGAAATTTGTTTAGGGTAGAGAGAAAATAAGGTAGAGAGAAAATAAATCAGTAACATTTCTTCTCTCCTGTAATTCTACATGGAGACAAATAAAATTTCCTTGAAGAGTTACTACTGAAAGTGTAAACATTAGAGAATGCTGTAAAAAGTGCAGCTCTAAAAACTGGCAGAAGGGATGTGTCTTTCCACCAAGTATCTATGGGGGTAGTGGTACCTGCTCCTATACAAATAAAGGCCCCAAATGTCCCCAACTTCCAGGATATTTTATTGAGCTGATTTTTCCTGTCTCTTCTGCTCCTCTCCTCTACCAGTCATCCCCACAGAGTATATTTCAGCAGTCACCTCATTTCAGCTGGGTAATCATGCTATGGCAGAAAGTGTGGTCTTCAGTCTGGGAAAAACTACTGTTTTACACAAGAGTCCCCCCACTGCCTCCATATGAAGGGCCATCACAACCAGCTGCCTACTCCTTGTTGGCACCATCCAAATTACTCTCGATGAATGAAGCCCTGTCTACAAAAGGTCTCTTTGTTGTGGTTATGTCTGCCTTTCAAATTCCCCAAGTGTAAGACTCTGCCCAAGAACACTGGTGGCTTCTTTACATAGTGCCTGGGCTCACAGCTGAGAAGAACCAATGCAATTTAACCTTAAAATGAATGAATGACTCATATGGCAATTTAATAGTTGGTTCTCCAATAATTTCTTAAATATGTTTAATTAACTATTAAATATAACAATAAAAATATCAAATAATAGTAAAAGTTTTTTATCATTATAAGAAAAGACTTACCTCTGCAATTTTCTGAGGCAGGGAGGTTTCAAACATCTGAAGCTTTTCCCAGTAGGAAACTAGCAACTGAAGAACATCACAAGCTACCTGAGCCACAATCTTGTTTGGAAACTATGAATGGAAAGAAAACCCACACTAAATAATCTAACTTGACACGTACATTATTCTTAAGAAAGAACATTATTTCTCCATACAGGGATACTTTTTTGTGTCTTAAATTTATGAAAAATGGGTTCTATTGCCAGATAGTTTACACATGATTATTACTCTAACTGCCTCTTGTCTAGACTAACTGTATTAATTTACATAACATTCTATAGAAACAACGAGCTCTCATTTAAATCATTTGGAAATTAAAACCATAATTTCAAATGGCTCATTCAGATCACACACAATCTTTGACAATTAGAGAAAATTGAAATGTGGTACATTATTGAGTATCACCTGTGCAGAGAGAACCCCTTACAAGAATTTCACTCATTTTTGCTTTGATAAATTTTCATTAACAGCTCAGCAAGGTAGATGTTATTGTCATTTTACACAGGGAGAAACAGATTGATCAAATAATTTTATATCCCATGATATCAAACTTAATTTGCATGTATAACATACTAAGAAAAGTGAAAAAAAAATGGGACTATGAGAACATAATTTTTAAGTAACATCTTTGAAGATGTTTTTTGAGACACAGGTCACCACCAAGACCTTCTGGGTGTTTCCCTTTCTTGTGAGATCATATGTCATAGGGGAAGAGCCTACATAGACCCTCAGCTGTCCTACTCTTCAGCTAGAGGTATACAACAGGGATGAGAGTACCATGTGCTTCTCTTCCTGACCAAACCTGGGGTGACACTGCTATCCATGCCTCACTGCCTAGGGTGAAAAGTTTCATCACTGAGCCTATGTATGTCCTTCGCTAGGGAATCCTGTGGACACACAGGTAAGAAAGAAAAAACTATGAGGAGAAAGGGATGAGGTGTGGGAGAGGTAGACACACAGTAGAGATGGGATTGTGGAGGGAGGAGAGAGCTGAGCTGAGCCTGGAAGAGTGCAGAGGAAGTCAGTGTTTCTTTTCAGGCAGTGGGCAGCAGGGCACGGGCACCGAGGCAAGAAGATTGCTCTGGAGGTCGGTAAGTAGGGTGGTGTTACTAACACAGAGAGGGGTTGAATAAATCATCCATTCACTCACTCATTTAGCACCTATTCCTGAAGTACTGACAATCTGCCAGCAATGAATTAAAAGCATAAGGTGTGGGCCTCCCCAGTGGTGCAGTGGTTGAGCGCTGGATTGCGAAGCTACCTGCAGCCTCTGCAGCACCGGTTCAATCCCTAGCGGCTGGGTGAGGGTCCCACATGGCGCGCAGACCTCTCTTGCTGCCCGCTGCTCCCCTCAGCAGTGTACTTCAGTCCTTCTGCCTGCTCTGCTCCCCGCTCTGGCTCTGGTGAATTTTCTCACCCTCCCGTGCTTCTGACTGTACCCAGTGCTTGTATAAATAAATAAATGTAAAAAAAAATTACGAAGATCTGTATTTACATATATATTTAAAAAAACAGCATAAGGTTCAAGATGAACAGGGCAAATACTGTCCCTACTATGAGGAGTTGACACTCTTAGGCAGGCAGAGACCTGCTTGTGTGTGTCCCTGAATGGGATGCCAAGTTCTCTAGTCTGGGCCACGAGGTCAGGCCTGAGTGTAGACTGATTCCTCTGGTGGCAGTATGGAGGGCAGAGATCTGTGGGATCTCTGGTGCCATAGAGTAGGGCCATGGGGAAGGTGGCCTAGAGGCTCAGTAATGGGCAGAGGGAAACAGCTGTGTAAGGGGTGGCCTAGACAGCAGGTAGGGTGGAGTGTTCAGGACTCTGTGACTACAAAGGGTAGTGAGGTGAGGTGAGGAGAAGGAGAGCATCAATATCTTCTAAGACGAATAAGAGCTGAGCAGCAGGGGTGAGCGCAGGGGATTCAGGTCCACCTCCTCTCACTCGTGCTTCCTGGGAGACCCTGAACCCACATCGCCATTCTTGTGCCCCTGCCTTCCCCAGTGGGACGCCTGCTGAAACTCTATAAAGTACAGCTCTGGCTTAGAATGTCTTGCCACTTTCAGCACCCAGACACTACCTCACCAGAACCAAACAAATCGCTGAGTGGAGGTCTCTAGCACTGTTGCACTGTTCTCACACTGTTCATGCTCACTGTTGTAGCCACAGGCTAGTTTTCTCTGATGCCTGGTGGGGAGCATTTCCTCATCTTCACTGACCATGACCGCCCATACCTGAGTGGACACCAGGACCAACCTAGACATGGGTTTCTGAAGGGCTTGGCTCCAGCCTCCTACCACTGATACCTCTCATTTCTCCTCCACCTCTCATTTCTTCCCCTAATGCAGAGCCCCAAGTCTCCCTGAGGCACCTCTTCTCAAAGTGGTTGCTCTCCCTCATTCCTTGTGACAACTCTCTCTTCTCTTCTTGATTTTCTCAGATATTTGTGGTACTAAAGGAACCAAGAGGGCACAGCAATGCAGGCACCCTGGAGAGGGGTGCAGTGGGGGGGGGCACCCAGTAACAGGATTCATGTTGATGAGTTTTCCTGTTTTCATAAAGGTTAAAGGGAGAATTGATCTGGCTGATCCTGGCCCATGGATTTCTTAGCAATTCAAGTTGTAGTAAGGGTCATGGCCTGTCGCAGATCCCCTTTTCCTTTATTTTTACAATGGAGAGGGCAGCAGCATCTATGAGGTGGGGGATTTGATGGAACAGTCCACGCATTGCTGGACACCCCTGACTGAGCAAGGGTTCAATCAATGGCAGGCCTTTTTTTTTTTTTTTTTTTTTTTTTTTTTTTTTTTTTGCTGATGCCTTACATATTTCTCCATAACTTAGAAAAATTACAGAAATTTTGAAAATTTGTAAAAATGTTAAAAAATCTCATTTCATATCCTACTCTTACCAACAACTTCCATCTCTTCTCTGTTTTATTTTTATTTTTTTAAATGTTATTAATTTCCAAGATTTTTTTGTGTTTTCTTTTTATTTTTTAATTAATTAATTTATTTATACAAGCACTGGGTACAATCAGAAGCGCGGGAGGGTGAGAGGATTCACCAGAGCCAGAGCTGCAAACAGAACAGGTAGACTGACGAAGTACACTGCTGAGGGGAGCAGCGGCCGAGACAGGAGAGGTCTGCGCGCCATATGGGACCCTTGCTGGCGGCCAGGGATCGAACCGGCGCTGCAGAGGCTGTGGGCAGCTTCTCAGACCAGGGCTCAACCGCTGTGTCACCAGGGAGGCCCTCTTCTCTGTTTTATATCTATATCTCTCCTTCATCCTCAACTTTAAGATGATTTTTGGATTTTTTCTTAAATCTAAAAATGTACATTTAACACACATTTACATTTCATGTAGACAAACTACTGATCTCCAACTTTTTTATTTTAATGAGTGACAGGAGTGTCTTCACATTTGCAGTTGTGCAAAAGCCCAGACTCAGAGCCAGAGTGCCCTGGTTTTTGACCCTGGAAAGCTCCTTAGCTCCCAATCAGCTCATTTTCCTCCTCTGTGAAGGGGAGGTGGCAGTAACCTGTCACCGTCAAGGGCAGTTCTAAGGATCAAACACAATCACAAAGGGCAGAGGTCAGCATCCTGCTCTGACTAACTGCAACACTCTTCAACAATGTCTTTGTTTGATCAATTATCCATTCCTTGCCACAGAAATCAGCATCAGACATTTTCCCACCTCTCAGGATATAAATGGTATCCCCAGGTATTGCAAGGAAGGGAAGACAAAGTGACAGAGAGGGTGGTCAGACACTATACTTAAGGGAACAGGAGGTAATCCATTTTAGCCAGGAGAAGGGGTGGGTGAAAATCTGACTACACAGGCCGGCAGGGACTATAATCCCCCTTGGCTGCTTACCCTTGGGCTGAAGCACAAAGCTGTGGCACAAGGGCTGTCATAGGCAGCAATGACTGTTCCAAGTGTCAGCTGTGTAGTGGCTGTGACTATTATAACAACACATGGCAGGTAACAGAAAAGGGCAGATAAAAGCCTGTATCTTGGTATCAAAGGGCAGGTTCAGGGTTTGAAATTGCCTTGACCTGGCTGTTGGTCCAGAGTCTTGAAAAAGTTTAACTTTCCTATACCTCAGTTCCTCCACTATAAAATGGGATACTTAACCTTGCAACTGAGGACTTCCACAAACCCTCAGCAAAATGCCTGGCAGGGACTAGGCACTCACTGGTTCTATTCCCACCATTTAAATAGGAGACAGAAGGATTTCGTAGGATTTGAGCTCTGGCTTAGGAAGTGGCCTAATGGCCCAGTACGAAAGTTCAGTTTTGTCTTCAATCTGCTCTTGGTGATGGTTCCATCACTTATACTCACATAATTTTTATTCTACTTTATTTTATTTTTTATTTTTAAACAATATTTGCTTCCCCCCCAACCCCTCAGATTGAGTCCCCATAGAATTTCCTTCCCCAAGGCACCCATGCACCATCACCACAGTCCTCTGTGCTCCTCCATCCCTCCCTCTGATCCCTCTCCCTTCTCCTCCCCTGCATATACTCACACAATTTTAAAACCTAATTTCTCTGGGCCTTGCTTTGCTCTGGTGTAGAATAGGGAAGAGCTGTTACAAAGGCTAGTAAGAGGTATTTAGGGGCTATCAACACTCTGGTCCAGTGTGAGCACCTAGTAAATGCAGTTCTTCTCAATAACAAACAAAGGAAGAAAGTTGTCTTAATAGTACCCAGGCCTAGTTGATGGTGAGCACACTCAGGGCTCCTGACCAGAAACTGTCATGTCTTTCCTGGTCCTGCTGAAAAGATGAGGGCATGAAATCTCACTTTCTTATCACTTCTACCAGCAGATGTCAAGTATTCTGTCATAAGAGTTATCCAGTAACCAAAAGAAGCCCAATTGGCCACCTTTGAATCAAATATCTCTGCAGTGACCAGGAAAATAAAGATGGGGCTAATTCAAACTAAAATTGGTTGAATACCTGGGGTATAGTTTAATGTCAAATATACATCATGAACTGGTAATACCTTCAAAGTAACACCTATCACATTGACAGCTTCTTTCAGTTGAGGATGGCTTGTACACTGTGCAAGTTCTTCACATATCCAGACACCAAGGGAGCAAATGGCAATGCATCTTTGAAAAAGAAGAAAAACTCTTATGTCATTTAATGTATTTTTGTAGTATTTTCAAATGACAAAATATTTTAATTTTTTATAGAAAATAGAAAAAATTATAGGTACAGCAATAGAAAGTCTTCTTAAGAGAAGAAATAACTAATCATCAATAGACTAGCTTTCAGGACAAACAGAACTACTGATAAAGGTTAGTACTTAAATATTTAATGAAATAAAAGGTGTATTTTCTATTGTCACAGTCCCTATATTACTTTTGTTAAAATTAACTTTTTATTACATTTTATTGTGTCAAGATACATTTAAGGAAGAATAAAAACCATGAATTAGAAAAGTGCTGGAATTGACTTTGTAATTGGTTTCCTTACAATAAAATAAATGGTACTTACCATAAACAGCAAAAAAATATCCTAGAGTATCTGAATACAACTTTCAAAATAAGGTCCACTGCTATTTCCCTTAAATGATGTTAGACAAAATAATTTTTAAGTTGCACAGTCCTTTAAAATTTACCTTTCATAATTCTACATTAGTCTTATGTAGAATTAATATTCTTGACTATCTTTTGCAATGATTAAGAAGTCATATTTCTGTTAATTTTTCCTTAATGTCTGTATATAAAATTAAAATACTTGCTCTCACACCTGCTCACTTTCAGAACAAAAAGGGGATTCAAACCACTACTTGGAACTAGACATTAGCAGTGCTATGTAATGCTATTCTTAAGACCTTACATTGGGTGTCAATCAAACTAGACATATTGTTTAGTTCTCCATACTGGAAGTTCCTTTGTATTTGATATAATTCAGCAATTATATTCAATATGATCTTAAGGCTTTAAAACCACCATATTTCACTGGATTCTTACCTTTTAAAATTAGGATAGAGAATGTGCTACATATCAAGTTTATTTAAATTGTCTTTAGAGATCATGTTATCTTCTAGCAAAATTCACTCAGTAAAGGCAATTTGTAAGGTATGTCAGTTCTTTTCTGTTTCTCCAATAGCAGCATTATACAGGACTTACACATGTTTCTCAACCTTCTTTACTGCACAGAATTCTCCAAATCTATCTTCTCTTGCCCAATTCCTATGCCTATTCTCAAAGAAATGGCACTTTGAAGTCATAGTCCTATGTACTCTATATTCTTTCAAAAAGTCTTTTTCCTCCCCAGTTTAACAGAGACTCTGATTGTTTAACCCACTAAAATCTATACAACTTATAATTATATTCAAAATCAATTTTAATCATTTGAAGATCCTCCTCTCCCTGTTATAGTCTCTCATTCTTTGCATGCATGTATGTGTATGTGTATATATAAGCACATATTTTTAGAATTCTTAACCTAACTTCAAATGTAATTTGTTAAGTGAAAAGTTCTTTCATTTCTAGGAACAGCAGCTTTGCTCTATTAGCTTTGCATCATGCAGAACATTTGTAAACCATAAAATGGTTTCATAATCTCAACTCCCCTCATTGCTTTGAGTTTTAAGCCTTGATTATAAATAGCTTTTCCAAGCATTTTTTTTCTCTTTTAAATTTATCATTTAAGATTCTATTTAGCATCTTCACATTTTAATACTCTAAGTTGTTCCTCATGCCTAGAATTTTCTGTCAACTGGTTCTCTGTAACTTCAGTATATTCTTTGTGAACCCAAATGAGTTTTATCTATCAAGACTCTTTTTGAAGATAATGGCAATACTACTCTCACTCTCATTCTGTATTTCACTCTTTTGACAATGGTTTATTATATGCCATCTCATAACACTCCAATTTATATAACAAAACTTTTTTTTCTTAATTATTATCATTCACAATTATAACTATTCTCTTAATATCTGCTGCTCTTATTTGAAGTTTTGATAATTTTTCACTCTGCTTGCTTATCTACACATACCTTAATTTCATTCTATGACTCCTTTTATAGAAAACTAAGGAAAACCGACCATATCATACACGTTTGTATTCTATTTTTAGTTCTAAAGAAATTTGGCTGCCTATATTAAAAAAAGAGAAAAAAGGTATTGCTAAAACTTGTTGGAAATTTGAATGTGGTGAGTATGAAAAAAGGAAATTAAAGATTTGTTCAAAGTTTTTGGATTGAAAATCTGAGTAGATGATGGTACCACTTCTGAGATGAGGTCTGAGGGAGAGCAGATAGCAAAATCAAGGGCTCAGTTATGCTTGTATTAAGTTTGGATGTGTTAAGGCATCAAAGCTGAGATGGTAAGTAGCCCATTAATATGTCCAGAACATAAGGAGTTCGCAGAAGGGGCCAGGTAAATAAATTCAGTATCATTGGAAAGTAGGTGGTATTTTAAACTTTGATTATAATAAACAATTCCACCCTGAAAAGTCATGGAGAAGAGAAAAAGCCCAAAATCTGAGTCACTATAACATCCAGAGGTTAGGTAGAAGAGGAGACAAGAAAGGAGCAGCTGTGGTCATGTAAAGGAAAATCAGGCAACAAACTGGCATTGTTCAGGAAAAGGGTAAAGACAGATTAATTTCAGAATTAGTAAGATAAGTATGCATATTAAAATGTCTAAGGTAACCTCTAAAAGAACTGAGAGTCTATGATTTTTACAAAACACAAGGAGTAATAAATGGAATATGGGAAAAAAATCTTTAAGAGAGAAAGGAAGAAGAGAGGGATAGAACAGGGGGGGAAATGAAGGCAAGAAAAAGAAAATCAAAGAAACCCTGAGAAGGACCAAAAATAAATTATAAAAATTAGATGAAAGAAATATATACATTTATTAGCAACTGCCATAGATGCAAAAGAATTTATGATTCAGTTAAAGAGAGAAATCAGTCAGGATAAATGAATAAAATCAAGTATAGACAATTTTTGCAAAGATACTTAAAAACAAAGAATACAGAAATGTTAAGCTTAAAGAACAGAAAATTTTATAAAAATAGCTAAATCAGTATCAGATAAGCAGTTGTTAAATTGATCATCCTTAAAGATAAAAGAGAGTCATTAATACAGGATTTGATTCACATAGAGATAAAATTCTACACTTGATCTTAGCCAAAAGGCCGAGAAGCGATGAGAGATAAAATTCTAAATTTCTATGTAACTAATAATATAGCTTCAAAATACATAAAGCAAAAATTGACAAATATATAAGGAGAAAAAGATAAATGCACTATAATAGTAAGAGATTTTTTTAATATCTCTCAGTAAAATCAAGATGATGAAAAATTATAAAGGATATGAAATATTTTAAAAGCACATGATTTTATGTATTTATTTATTTTTAAAGATCTATTTATGCATACAAGAACTGGGGTACAGGCCAGAGGTGTTGTGGGTGAGAGGATTCACCAGAGACAGAGTGGGGAACAGAATAGGAAGATTGACTGAAATACACTGCTGAAGGGAGCAGCGGGTGAGACAGGAAAGGTCTGCCTTGCCATGTGGGATTCTCCCTAGCTGGCCGGGAATCGAACCGGCGCTGTGGAGGCTGTGGACAGTTTCACAGCACGGCACTCAATCTGCTGTGCCACCAGGGAGGCCCCAACACATGATTTTAAAAAAAAAACTAAGCTAATGGACACATTTAGAATGATGTATACATTCTTTCCAAGCATATACGGGACATTTACACTAACAGTAATGGAACATAAATTGGATCATGAAGCAAATATCAACAATTGAGAGGCCATTATCAGATAGATAACATTTTTGAACCACAAAATTAGCAAAAAGATGAACAAAAGTAACCATATATTCAGAAATTTAAAAATTTACTTCTAAATAAGTCATGACTCAAAGAATCATCATGGAAATTGAAAAAAAATCACAAGAAAAATAATACATATGATAAAGTAGCACCTAGAAATAAATATATAAACTACAGTGTTTATATTTGTAAAGAAGCAAGATTGAGAACTTATATTCTAAATAAGCAACTTGAAAAAATAGGGCATGATAGAATGTAAAGAAAGAACATAAAAGGAGCAGAAAGTAGGAAATAAAAAAATATTTAAAATAGAAAGGTTGAACCAAGACCAAAGTGTATTCTTTGAAAAGATTAATAATGTTGACAAATTTCTGGCAAGGCTAGTGAGAAAAATAAGAGATTACATCAAAAGTATCAGAGATTAAAAAGCATATAGAAGTGAAAGAGATAAAAGATATTAAGAGGATAATGGAGACATCAGCTTACAAGTATATTTCAAAACTTAGATGGAATAGACAAATTTCTAGAAAATTTTTATTTACCTAAACTGTCAAAAAAAACTTAATATTCCTAAAAAGCCATTGAAGAAAATTAAGGGTTAATCTTCTCATAAAGAAAATACCAGAACTAGTTAGTTTTACCATCAAGTCTACTAAATACAAAAGAACATTAACTCTGATTTTACAAAACTCTTACTGACTAAATTTAGAGAGCAGAACAGCACTTGACTCACTACAATCTTATAATTAAACCTGGTAAGGAATAAATGGGAGAAGAACACAAGCCAGGAGTAACTTTCCTGAGTAAAATTTAGTCAAAAAAAAAACTGGTTTTACCACAAGTTTATTTTAAAATTATCAAGATGATAAAAAATTTGATGTTAATGAATTAACTTCTGGTAATGTCAGAAAAAAATGTTGAAAAAAAATCACAAGAAAAATAATACATATGATAAAGTAGCACCTAGAAATAAACATATAAACATAGAAAATTTGGGCTAAACTTCAACTGAAGTAGCAGAAGATATTAGATTAAAAAAAAAACAAACAAAACTTCAAAATATCAAAGAGCAAAGAGCTAAGAAGACATTAATGAGGGCCTCCCCTGGTGGCGCAGCAGTTGAGTGCTGGGCTGCGAGGCTTCCTGCAGCCTCTGCAGCGCCAGTTCGTTCCCTGGCCACCAGCAAGGGTCCCACAAATAAAAAAAAAAAAAAAAGAAGAAGAAGACATTAATGAGTGATAGACCTTTTTTGGAATGAGCAGCGAGGGAGCAGGGCATAAGTCAATTTCTGGGGGAAGCAAGAGATTAAGTGAGGCTTCTGTGACCTTATAGTGTTGGAAGTTGAGGGTTAAAAACTGGTATTCCCCTATGCTAGTGTATTCAGTTTTACCTTGGGAGAAAAGATAGGAACTTTTCATTATGCAGGTAGCCCAGAAAACCTCATATCTCAGTCACAGACTACCAACAACTTCATGTCTGGCATAAGCAACCGAATTATTTCTAGACATTGCCAAATATCTGCTGTGGTAAAAAAAAAAAAATCACTTCTGAGTGAGAAGCACTACCCCAGGGGCCTCCCTGGTGGCTCAAGGGGTTAAGAGTCAGCACTATGAAGCAATCTGCAGCTAGTGCAGCATGAGTTCGATTCCCAGCCAGGGAGGTGACCCACACAGTGCTGCAGACCTCACCTGTCTCGCCCAATGCTCCCTTCAGCAATGTATTTCAGTCAATCCGCCTGTTCTGCTCCCCACTCTGTCTCTAGTGAGTCCTCTCACCCTGCCTCCCTGCACCTCTGGCCTGTACCCTAGCTCTTGTATGCATAAATGAATAAATCTTTAAAAAAATTTTTAAAAACCCACTACCCCATCATGTATCATTTAAAAAAGTTGTTTCAGTTATTCTTCCATTTTCTTATTAAAAATATCAGCAAATACATTACAGATCTATAAATCTTGTTTTTTTCTTATACAAAAGGCACTACATAATCTTTTGCATCTTTACTGTTTTCACTTTAATAATGGTGTGTTTTAGAAAAATTAAGTAAAGCATTTCCCTGACATAATTCTTGTTATACTTTTTAGTGTATATAAGAGTAATGTGGAAGAACAAGTCTTTTTCAACACTAAACATAAATGAAAATTCTAAAATAGTTTACCTTTTATTCAACATTTACCTTGCACATTCATTTGGTTCCTCTGTGGCATTCTTCAGTAAAATATTTATGAGGTAATGCTAAAAACACAAAATTAAGTAAATTAAGTAAAATAAAAACTTTGTTTTCTAGGTAGTTTCCCAGATATTCTGATCATGCTTCAGGTAGTCAGAAGCTAGAGAAGGACCAGGGGGCTCTGCAGATGCCCCTATCTAAGAGAACTTCAAGAATGGGAAACACAGGCTTGGGGAAGCAGCACGGAAGGTGGTCTCAGCAATAACCTCTCTGGGCAAGTAATCCAGCCTAGAGAACAGTGGTTCTGGGTATGCAATAAATGAGACTTCTAGAGAAGAAAAACTCTATTTTATTTTACTTCAATTGGATATATATTGTACACTATACACATTACAGATTATACATTGTAATCATGATTTATAGAGACAGACAGAAAGGCAGAAAGATAGATAGGCAGACAGATCGATAGGCAGACGTATTCTGATACCTGAATTTTTTTTTTTTTGTCCCAAAGTCAGTTGGGGAGAGAATAAATTCTTACTTTTATTCTCTAAGGAGTAATTTGGAATTTCAAATTAGCAGGAGTATTTAATCAGTACAATGGTAAGATCAAATATTTAGCTTATTTGAATTATTTCTTATAAATTCATTTGATGTACTAATGCAACATAATTAACCTAATAAAATTATTACAAAGGATAATTTATTACATAATTACAATCCACAGGCATAATAAACAGTTCTTAACAAAAACCCTGAGGACCATAATAATCACTTTTAACTGAATCTAATACATATAAATCCTTCTAAATAGCCTTCTAAAAGAACTATTAGAACATTTAAATAATACAGCAAAACTTTGAGGCGTAAGTAGATACTAATGGAAGAGAGAAACATAGAGCTGAAATTATAAAATGCTAAAGTTAAGATTCAGTCAAATCCATCATGTACCTTGACATCTTCGGTTCCTGTAATGACCTCATTAACTTCTGGCACTGACTGAAGTAAAGGGATCTCCCGGTAGGTGTTTGGAAAGCAGACAAGAGAACCCAGAATGGTGAGAGCTTCTGAACGAGGTGCCTGCACACAAGAAAGGGAAGCACACAATTTTCTGTTTGTAAGTTAGAAACTTAACATAAGCGTCATGTCGTACTTTCTCATGGTTTTGAAAGGGAATTGATAACCATTTTATCCTAGATAAGAAATCTTAAACTATACCTAGTTATTTTCTTTCCAGTGATTAGTTAAGTAGAGAATTTTCCCTAAATGAAAAGGCAAATTCCCTAAGAATGGAAAAGATCACTAGAGTTGGATATAAACACACATTGTGAAAACTGGTCTAGAAAGTCATTTGGTGTCAGAAAGGCAAGTGAGTCATTCATAATTCACATTTTAGTCTCAATGTTCTTGAAAATGCAAAGTAAATTATATCAACTTCATATTATTTTTGCTGTCAACAGAGTTAAGAAAAATTCATAATGAAGTATGATTGCAGCAGGGTATCAGATGGGTCCTGTTTCATCAAGAACTACTTTGCAAAATATCATAACATATATGTATATCTGACATCTAGTGGGAAAGAAAACCACTGTCCATTATTGGAATTATGTATTTAAAAAAAGGAGGCATTTCACTGATTTCAATTTAGCCTACAATTACTAGAATCAACCATTAGCCAAGAATGAGAACAGTACAGGATTATAAAAGTGTGTCATCCATCTACCTACCTATCTATCCATCCATCCCTGTCTATCTATTCTTATCCAATAATTACAATGTCAGTTAAGACATATAGAGTGCCAGCCTCACTCTAAGTGATATACAAACATTTCCTAATAGAATGTCCTCAACAACCCAATGAAATTTAAATTAGGTGAAACAGAGGTTCAGAGAGGTTAAATAGCTTTTCAATATCATATACCCCATAAGTGACAGACCCTCCGTGAACTGAAGATTTCTAACGCTAGCTTCCACACATGCTCAGCATTTGGGGTACGAAATGAAACAGAGCTTTCCTCCACTCAGAGATGGCACTATGCTATATGGGGTTGCGGCCAAATCATAGCAGCCTGATACATTCATTTTTTTACCTAGCTTTATTCAGAGATCTTCTGATGGGAAACAAGATGAGGCAATATGGTTTTGTTTTGTTTTTCCTGTTCAATATGGTTAGGATATACAGTTGGATATAAACTAGTGCTGTGAAAACTGGTCTAGAGATTCATTTGGAGTCAGAAAGCCAAGTGATTCAGTCATGATTGTTTCATGTGTTAGTCTCCATGTTCTTGATAAAAATCAACTGCTGCTAAGAGTCACAAAAAGAAGAAGTCAGCCAGGCTGGAGTGAGGGAATGAACTGAGAAGGTAAGAGTCACATTGCAGGCAGGGAATGACAAAGGCAAAGGCACCAGGGCATCTGTGGAACTGTTAGAGGTCCCACATACACAGAACCCAGAGAGCATGAGAGTGTGCATACAGGGATGGGGGAGCTAAAGTGAGAGTAGTCTGAGAAGGCACTGGGGTATTTAGAGAAGGATCACAGGCCAGTTGTCATCTCATTCCACTCTGAGTGTTGCCACCACAACCCCAGCAGCAGTGTGGTATCCCCAAGAAGAGTAGGGACTTAGAAAGTATCAATTCTGTATCCCGGTAGGTGCTCAATAAATATTGCCTTCATATTAAGAGTAGCCATTTACGTCTTTGTTTATCAAGTGAATTCTGATCACCTTCATATCTGTGCTTCAGCATCACCTTTCCATGAAGACTTTTCCAATATGCATCTTCCCCTCCACCTGTGCGGAGTGGGGTACTCCGCAGAGTGGGATACTCCGGTTAATTCCACCAAGCGGAATTAACTATTCCTATATTGCTGACCCTCTGGTTTCTGGATAGAATTCTACTATGACTGCAAATATTAACACTTAGTTTACACATTTGATTCTTTGAGTGTAGGAACCCTGTCATGCTCATCCAGGACAATTCCTGGCACACAGTTGATCCAAAGTCAATGTTTCCCAGACAAACCTTGTTTTGTCAGCCCTCATTAACTGCTTCTCAGAGTCTTAGTTTAGACTTCATTGGGGTTGATTCTTTTCCCTGAGTGGCCTTGAACTATTACGTAGTGTGTAACCCTGGTTTGCACTGTAGATTTTTGGATAGAATGCTAAATGATATAACAACTGGATGCAAAGTAACAGATCTTTATTAAAGTTTTATTAAAGAATGTAGAAAATCTACAAAATATTTTTGCCTAAGCATTAAGTCTATGCTGAGGAGATGGAAAAATGAGGCCTAGGTGCTAACTATTGATATATAACCCAAAAAGAGATAAGTAGTTCAAACCAATGGTGGCATTAAACCCAGGTCTGACTCTATGAATCTAAAGGGACTAGATATATGTAATATCTATCTTATGTACATACCACGATTGACCTGTAATTTGTTGATGGCCATGTGGATTGGCTCGAGTCTTTGGCCATTAGAAAGAATGTTGCTAAGCACAAGTTTACACTCATCTTTTAGTGGTTTGTATAAACCTTTCTCTTTTTCTCATCCCCTTATGTAGTGAAATCTCCATAGTAGGAACATTTCAAACTTACAACTAACTTGTGTTATTAACAAAGGTGTAAAACAATAGTACTTCATTAATTAAAAAAAAGTTTTAAAAATATTTAACTCATGTTAACTGGAAAATATGACTGAGTAGGAGTACCCCATTCAAATATCTCTCAGCAGTAGCCTGACAATTTTAAACCTCAAGATTAAACTAAGAGAACAATGCAAATTCAAAGAATTAGTTTCTTTATGTAACTCTTGATATTCATATTCTCATATTTTTTCTTTTCAAAAAATATTTTGTAAGACTACTTTAATAGCTCATCTAAATATAATTTGTCGGGCCTCCCTGGTGGCGCAGCGGTTGAGCGCTGGGTTGCGAAACTGCCTGCAGCCTCTGCAGCACCGGTTCGATCCCCAGCTGCTCCCTGGCCACCAGAGGAGGGTCCCACATGGCGCGCAGACCTCTCCTGCCACCCGCTGCTCCCCTCAGCAGTGTGCTTCGGTCCTTCTGCCTGCTCTGCTCCCCGCTCTGGCTCTGGTGAATTCTCTCACCCTCCCACGCTTCTGACTGTACCCAGTGCTTGTATAAATAAATGAATAATAAATAAATAAATAAGTAAATAAATAGAATTTGTCACAGAGCGAGGCCACAATGCATGATATTATCCCTAGAAAGGGACCCAGCGCCCCAGGATTTTTATAAGAAACTCATGGTGATTAAAGAAAATTTCAATACAAAGTTATGATTTTTCCTTCCTGTATATCCTGTAATATTGACTTGGATGATTAAAAGTAAATCTGAAGGTCCTTTGAGATTATCCTAAAATCTTTTACAAAAATAATGGAGTCATATTCTTAAAGAAAAAAAAAAGCTGAACAAATTCAATACTTTTTCTTCCTTTTTTTCCCCTACTATTCTTTTCTTTTTTCATCCTTCCTTTTTCCTTTTACTTTTCTCTTCCCTTTGCTCTTTATCCTTATAAGAAAGAGTACATGAAAACACCAGCATGCAATAAGAGTCACACAAAGTATTAAAAATAATTTAATTCAAAACCCAGGTTTGCAGTTTGAATTTACCTTGCACCAAAGAAAAAGTAGAGCAAAAAAGTAATAATGTGTCAAACAAAATTTAGGTGGTTGTACAATAAAATGATTTCAATACAAATACTGGAAAACAGTAAATGTAATTTTATTTACACCATTTGAAGAGGAAAAAATGACTGAACAGGTTATTGGTGTACAGAGCACAAATGTGAGAAGCCCTTTAAATTTAAGTGTTTAAGAGTATTCTCTCTAAAGACATTTAAACATCTCCCTAACAGTGGAAGCAAAAGTAGAGATTGAAATAAATTCTCTGTGTAACCCTTAATATGCTATTGGTCCACTTGTTTCTAATTTTTCATTAAAAGAATTGTTCCAAAATTTCATGACACATTAACAAGAAAATATGTACTCCTTTTCTGGTTAAAATTTTAGTGTTCTAACATTTTAGGAAAATATTTTCTATTAGACTTATCATAAACAATATTTTAATAATAATAATAAAACCCTTAATGCCATGTACACTTAAAATTTTCTTTTAACTACAGACACCTATGTCTATTCCAGCATTTTCTGGAAAATGTTAATAAGATTCTAAGAGACAAGTTCTGCTTCTGACTGTGTGAATGTGCTGAAATATTAGTGAGGATATGATTTCTCACACTCTGGCCTTTTGATGAAACGCCTTTCCAATACCAGTGTGTCATCTTATCCTACAATTTCACACATCAGCTGCCAGGGCATCTATCCGAGAGCCCAGTTTCACATTGCACTAATGAGTCAACACCTGTTAAAGAGTGGAGAAATCTGAACCTTGTTAGCGATTGTGAAGCCTCTGGGGAGTTTGGATGCTGAGCATTGTCATACTCACCGCCAGCATGTCTGTACTGAGGACCCTGGCAGCACCAGTGATGAAGTCCCCCACCAGCATTGAGAAGCCAGGCAAACCCAGGGAAAAAAATCGGGGTGGACAGTGTCTTATGATGGTATTTAAGATATCCTGAAATATAAGTAAACATAACTGTAAGTAACTTTTAAGGACAAAATTCCAAAGGAGACTGCTTAAATATATGGTTATTATATGATAACCTAAGAGAACACAGATCACATACATTTTTTATTGAGAGGGGTGCTGGGAGAGGAGTTAGTCTAGGGGAGTGCTACTGAACCCACTTTATAGGTAAACTGTCAGATGCCCTGCCCCAAATCTACATCATGGCATTGGAACTAGATACTTCTTCCATCCTCCACTAATGGTGAACTCTTTAGCCAAGTCAGGGGATTGCTGATGTGGATACACAAATGAAACCTTCAAACATTATCTCTACAACTAGAAATACATTCAGTCTTTGACTTATAAATTTCTTCAATTTTCAAAAGCTAAAGCACACTGTTGTATTAAAAAAAATCTTAAAATAGATGAAGAGATGGAAATTTTCACTCTTTGGGTAATCTCATATGCTAAACAACAGGAATGGCCCAAGTGGTAGGCTGAGAGCAATAGTCGGCGTGGCTCTGAGCCCAAGAGATGGGGAGTGCTGTGCAAAGTGCAGCAGCATGAAGACCATCGACTGCCCAGACACCTTATACCCTTGGGCCTTCGTAACATCCATTCAGTGGGGGCCTGGGTGGCCCCTCATGCCCCGTTCTGTTCTGAGGCAGTCACAGTTTCATTCTTGGACAAACCAGGAACACCATTGGGAGGTGTTCACACCATCTAGGGCCAGTCCACATCTCTGAAGCCATCTGTGTGAGAGTGTTTGTGTGCAAGGGGATTAGTAAGAAAACCACAAACTCCTTTTATGCAGTTCTAGGCCATGCACATTAATAAGTCGTACTGAAGCTCTGTAGTTACGTGACTGGTGGTTATATGACCTATAGTTAAGTATCAGAAGACAAGTAGAAAGCAATACAAGAAAAAATCTAGTTTCTTTTCTCAGATTTCAATGTGACTGTTTAAAAATAATTTAAAATAATCTTGATTTAATCTAGATTAAAGTAGTAGCAATATGCTAAATTCTAACATGTTTAAGTCCTTTGTAAAATAAAAAATAAGGTCATTTAACAATGTGAAATCTTAAAAAAAATCATATGTTCATAGAACATTTGTTTCTAGGTAGTCCCCCCCTTACATAAGTGGCTTCATCTACTTTCTACAAACCATGCTGTTTATATCCTTTAAATGACTGTACAATGCTTATTCGATTAAGAACTCATATGTGTTAAATGGTTTAACCTATTAATTTAAAGTTTTAGCATTTAAAAGACTTTTCCCGAATGAAAAATAGGTGGATTGGAGGAAGGAAGGAAGGAAGGAAGGAAGGAAGGGAGGAAGGGAGGGAGGAAGGAAGGGAGGAAGGGAGGGAGGAAGGAGGAAGGAAAGAAGGAAAGAAAAACATGAACCATGCTTCTTTCAAGTTAATGTTTAAACCTGCTTTAATCACATCCTTTGATACACTTTAGGGTCCATATCAGCCAAGGCAAACATTCTAAGGGGCTGAGCAGATGGATGCTGCAGTTTAGAAAGTGTGTGGTAAACTCATGCTCCAAGAGTGGAACAAAAGATCCACCTTTTTCATAATTAAGCCTCTGATTAATGCCCTGGGCTCCTCACCACACACCTGTAATTACTCAACAGAGGTACGCATTGTGCTGGGCCTTGTCTCAGAATATCAGGCATCAAGCTATCCAGCAGCAGATGGAAGCACATTTCTGTTGACATATGCTGCAATGAAAGGATTCATGCAAACCTGGCTAGCAGGTAGCAGAATGCCATGCATTTGAAGATTAATAATGCAAACAACCATGATGTTAACTTTGTAATGTTTGTGTTAATTCCATCTGCTGAGATGAGAAACTAAGCTTTGAACCCTGTAGGTTTAAAACATCTTTAGCACATGCTTATTTCAAATAAGACATTTGCACCCCTGGTGCAAACATAAATGTCTTCTGGGATAAGTTTATGTGGATTGTGAACTAAACCCTTTAACACACTAAAACCAGAGTTTGTAAATGGAATTCATTTTGCTTCCTAAGATTCATATGTATAAAGGCAACGGATCTGTAAATAGGCACTCACAAAAATTACTAAGTTGCCATCGATACTAAAGACAGCAGAAATGCATGTAGCCGATATGGCCGAGATAAAGTCACATAGCTCCCCACCCCCTGGACTTCGGCCAGTCACTTCAACGGAACCTGTTTCTATGGGCAAGAAGACTGCAAAGAAAGGGCAAAATAACAGATGGCGAGCCTACCCTACCCTGCCACCCACGTAAGACAGAGCCCCAAGGAGATGAGCGGTCTGTGCTGCTGCCGCCAGTTGAAGACAGCACTGGGGTAGGATTAAAGTGGGGGTTAAAGAGGAAAATACATAACCAGTGAGCCAAATTATGGTCATGTCTGCTTAGTTTGCTTATCCATACTGAAATGAAACACACAATCACAAAGACTCTATCTTTGTGATAACTTTTTCAAATTAGGAAAAACTGTGTGGTGCTCTGAAGAGAGCAGTTGCAGATTCCCAATAGACACATCTATAAGGGGCTCCAATCACTTCTAGCAGAATCCTTTCACCTTCCTTCTAATACAGTAAGACCATAGTTATAATTGGAAAATTTGGAAAAATAAAGATCTTCAGACTCTGAAACATTCTTCAGTCTCTTGGGTTTTGTATATGGACAGGACTAAAAGGCGCTGCCCAAGCTTCAATTATTCATGTACAACTCTAGTGCATTTTGTCCTGTCTAAATTGAACATTATTAGTCTGTTTTTCAGAGTAACTATTTTATACTTAAATAGGATTATTCTGGAAAACTAGCATCTTGTGGCATAAATAGGAAATAGTCTTTAAATCAATACAATGATGATAAACCACAGTTACTGAATTTTTGCTAAATGTCACTGATGGAAGCTCTCCTTGGTAAAAGGGGTGGTTTTTGTCTTCAGGGTGATGTGAGAGAAGTTCTGCACCCATGCCACTGGCTTACTGAGAGAGTCACAAGGACAGGGAGTGATGAAGAAAGGGGTGACCCTTCCTAGTGTGTGATTCAATGCTATCTAGGGCCACCTCCATGTGACCACCTCTGAGAAAGGCCACTGCACTCAAAATTCGGCATGCTGAAAACTCCAGAACTGGGGCCATGAGACTTAATTTTAAGGTCTAGGGTATGTGATCGTGGGCAGATCCTGTCATGCCTAGAGCTTTACATGGGAAAATTCCTCTTCTGGAGTTGTAGCTAGTGGTCTAGTAGATATGAACCTAACCCTTTGCAAACTGAAAAGGATCATACAGAAATAATCACAGTGACATGGTTTTTTTTTTCCAAAAAGGGAAGGACTGAAGGATTTTATTTTCTAGACTTTACTTTCTAGGTATACTTTGGAGAATTAGTAAACTATTATTTTACTGATCTTCAGAAAGTATTTTTACATTTCAAAGTGGTACAAATAAGCCCCTAAGATTCTATTTACCAGAAATTTTAAAACTGTAGAAATTAATGTTCTCAAATAGCATCATTACTCCCCAAAAATCAATTAGGCATAGTGTATATAAGTAATAAGACAAGTAATAAGATAAAAACAGGGAAAAGATCTCTTCAGATTTTCTAGGGTCCGTTCGTCTACAGAATTCTAGAATTTAATCCAAACAAGTGAGTTTGGTAGTAAAATTAGCTTCTTTTCCATACTTTAAAACAGACTAAAACAGTAAGTTTAACGAAAAAAATGAACTCTAAAATAGGAATTGAGCTTATTCTTCAAAACTGACAGCATGAAGTATAGACAAAACTCTTTCACTTGCTTTTGTTCAAAGGAAATAATATTCATTCTGCAAAATGCTATAATACAGCGAATTGACCACAAAACTAGTATTTTTCTCTTGCTTTTGGTTCACACATGCTACACAATGAGTGTGAAAACTAGTTTGTAAGCCAGTAATTGTGAATTTGCAGTTTATCAAAAGATTCAGGTTTATGAGAAAGTAACTAGTGAGAACATCTGTCTCTTATCACTGATCTTACAAAAAAAAAAAAAAATCAGGTAATTCAAATAGAGGCGTGTTGTTTCCTCTCCTCCAAAGCACAGTTCTATAAACACAAGCCACATTCAGCCTGGTAAATGAATCGCTTTAATTGAATGCTATGTACACAGTAACTGGAAAAGCCATAAGTGATAAGAAAAACATATGGTGATGGCAACAGAAATTGGTTTATTCATTTTGCATAGTGTTATTTCTTTAGTTCTCTTATAATTGACCTTTAGAATGATAAATGTGTAAAATAACTTTGTTTATTATGGCTCCAAATCTTTCAACAATTACACAAAATGAAAATTTAAGGAAGGATTCATTCTGGAAGCATTTCCATTGTTTACATAATTGCACAGCTATAATTTAGTGCTCATGTTGTTATGAAAAATAAAAAAGGAGCGATTACAGACCATTTCGATTCAAAATATTGCACAGTGGTATCAAAAAATGGGGGAAAATGTTCACTTTAAAGCAGTTTAAAAAGGATTAACCCTCTAAACAAAAACATTTCAATATTGTATTTTATGAAATACAAATGTTCAAGAAATAGCCATCTTTCAAACAGAATTAGAAATGTTGCAACTGTACTTTCACACCAATTACATATATATTATTCACTTAATATTTGCTCAGGGCCCAGCAGATGATGGTTGTAACACAATAGCCAGCCATCTGTCTCCCTGCCTTTCCTTAGCAGACTCTTGCCTGCTCCCCAGTAGCAAACAGATCCAGTTATTCCACCTAAAGTCACTCAGACCTTCCAGAAGGCGGCATAGAATGAAGGAATAAAATCCATATATGCAAAGTCACTGAATCTCCTTTTAATGTTTTATTTTTAAAAAAACCAACATGATATACACTTAATGACTTCACTGACATTCTTCAGAGAACATATCTGTGTTTCACCTAGAAAATTCTATAGAAATCCCTTTCATTGATAAATCGACAAATGTCCAGATCTAGTTATCACA